TATGAAGAGATACAAAACAGCATAGGAAGATAGAAAGTGACTCTGGGGAGTGAGGGTGAGAAAATAGCAAGAAGTTATTTTTCTTGGGTGTAGAGAAACCTCCAGTGAGGTGAAGGTGAAGCAGATGCTGAAGGAGGGGAGGGAGAGAGCCAAGCTTCCTTGTGGGAGAAGAGTGCTGCATAGAGGCAGCAGCTGATGCAAGTCTCTAGATAGTGAAAGGCTCTGTGACTCAGACTTCAAGGGGCTTGGATTTAATTCTAGAATGGGATGGGAAGCCATGGAAGGATTAGGGAGTAATATGACGGGTTTATATTTTAAAAGGATCATTCTGGATGCCACATGATAGAGGCTAGGAGACTGGTTTAGAGACTGTTACAGAAAGTGATGTATGAAGATGAATATGAAAGTGGTGGTGGGGAAGATGGGAAAAGAACCTGGACACTCCCATCTCCAACCTCAGGGTGGAGGGGGAACCCTAAATCCTTTTTCCATTTCCTTTTTGCATTATGTCCTTGCTGACTCTCCTTGCTTTCTTCTCTTTCCCCTTCTCCTGTCCTTGTCCCCCTCTCCTGATGTTGGCCACTAATTCTGTCAGCTCCTGCTCCTCATTGTATCTACTTCTCTACTCTTAGTTTTCCAGGATAATTTTTTTCAAGAGTAAAATAACCACATCCTTTCACTCAGGTGGTTGTGGCAACAAACATTGCTGAGACTTCACTCACCATTGAGGGCATCATTTATGTGCTGGATCCAGGGTTCTGTAAGCAGAAGAGCTACAATCCCCGCACAGGCATGGAGTCGCTCACGGTCACACCCTGCAGCAAGGTCAGCCTGGGTCTCCATGGGTAGAGAAAGGTGGAATTATCCCACAGGGGAAGTCCATCTCAGGAGCTCTTAGAGAATGGGGGATAATAAGCATTTTGTATTTTCCCAGATGACTTGTGTAAATACTGCTTTTTCTCTTTTCCCTGACCAAATCATCAGCTAGCCTCTTCTTTCTAGGCCTCAGCCAATCAGCGGGCTGGCCGGGCAGGTCGGGTTGCTGCAGGGAAGTGCTTCCGCCTGTATACAGCCTGGGCCTATCAGCATGAGCTGGAGGAGACCACAGTGCCTGAGATCCAGAGGACTAGCCTGGGCAATGTTGTACTGCTGCTCAAGAGCTTAGGTGATTGGGCTTCCTGAAAGAGGGAGGGAGGGGGGCCGGAATCACTGGTTCCTGTGTGGGAACTCTGTTGTATCCTTTACACATTTCTCTAGGGATCCATGACCTAATGCACTTTGATTTCCTGGACCCTCCACCATATGAGACCCTACTGCTAGCTTTGGAGCAGCTGTACGCTCTGGGAGCCCTCAATCACCTGGGGGAGCTCACCACGGTGAGGTGGAGGGCAACATGGACTGGGGCAGGTCAAAGGAAGGGGTTCCGGTGCCCCAAGGATCCCTGTCATGATGGAAGGAAATCTGAGGGAATTCTGACCTAAACTCTCTTTCCTCTCCTTAGTCTGGTCGAAAGATGGCAGAGCTGCCAGTGGACCCCATGTTATCAAAAATGATCTTGGCTTCTGAGAAGTAAGAACTCGTACCCTTTCTGGCCCCTAAACATAAATCAATCATACCTCCCCTGTTTTGGGGGATATCTTTGTCTCTTTCTCTTTTTTTCTGTCATAATATTATATAACACATAAGTTATTAGAGAACTATGATTGTCGTCTCCACCCACCCACTTTCTTTTTTTGGTACTGAGGATGAAATCCAGGGCCTTGACATACCTACTAGGCAAGCACTCTATCACTGAGCTGCACCCCCAGCCCTTTATTTATTTATTTATCTTAGTACTGGGGGTTGAACCCAGGGATTCTTCACCACTGGGCTACATTCCCAGCCTGCTGAGGCTGGCCTCGAACTTACAATCCTCCTACCTCAGTCTCCTGAGTTGCTGGAATTACAGAGGTGTGCCACCATGCCTGGCTCCTTAGTGCCCTTTTTTTTGTGGGGGGGAAGGGGTACCAGAGATTAAACTCAGGCACTCGGCCACTGAGCCACATCACCAGCCCTATTTTGTATTTTATTTAAAGACAGGGTCTCACTGAGTTGCTTAGTGCCTCGCTTTTGCTGAGGCTGGCTTCGGACTCTTGATTGTCCTGCCTCAGCCTCCTGAGCCGCTGGGATTACAGGTGTGTAATTCCAGCTCTTAGTGTCCTTTTTGAGGCCCATAGGGGTTTATATAAAACACTGTTCTGTCCTTGTTCATATTAAATAGACAGAGAAAACCTAGGAGTATGAACAAAAGTGGAAGATTTCCATCTGAGATGTGTTAAGTGAGATTGCTTTTGGAACTTGCTGATTCCTAAGATTTCAGACTGAGACATTTAGATATAGCTGTGAGAGACCACCTTTAAATGCTATTCCTGTGTTGTGGTTGAGGTCAGAAATATTTCCTCAAGTCACATAATGCACACCTTGCTCAGAAGTCCTAGTGTTTCCTGCCTCTGCCTCCATGCATTTCATTTTATGCAATTGTTTCACCTATGGCTCCCCCTCCTGGATTCCTGCTGCTACTGCTGCTGCTAGAATCTGCTGTCTGATGTATAGCTACTGTCCTAACTGGCTTCCCCATCACAGCAATCACTTTTCCCCTCGTGTGTCTGTTCCTAGATGTTTTTTTTTTTTCCTTCTTGATTTTTTTTTATATCTTTTTATTTATTTATTTTTATGTGGTGCTGAGGATTGAACCCAGGGCCTCACACATGCTAGGTGAGTGCTCTACCACTGAGCCACAATCCCACCCCTCCTAGGCGTTTTGCTTTGACCTTTTGTCCTTTTCGTTCCTGCTCAGGTACAGCTGTTCAGAGGAGATCCTGACAGTGGCTGCCATGCTCTCTGTCAACAACTCCATCTTCTACAGACCCAAAGATAAGGTTGTCCATGCTGACAATGCCCGAGTCAACTTCTTCCTCCCTGGTGGGGACCACCTGGTTCTGCTAAACGTGTATACACAGGTCACTGGTCTTGGGTGAATGGGAATGAGGGAGAAGTGGGGGGGGGGTTCTTGTCTACTGTATACTTAAGGCCTCCTACCTCTTTTCTTTTGAACCCTCTTCACAGTGGGCTGAGAGTGGCTACTCTTCCCAGTGGTGCTATGAGAACTTTGTACAGTTCAGATCTATGCGCCGAGCCCGGGATGTGCGGGAACAGCTAGAGGGGCTCTTGGAGCGAGTAGAAGTCGGTCTGAGTTCCTGCCAAGGGGACTATATCCGTGTACGCAAGGTCAGTGTTGTCCTCTCAGAACCTACTGGTGGTGTGCAGCAGTTCCCCAGCCTGAGCTATTCCCCTTATGCAAAACATTCTCCAAAACTTTTTCTTCAGACTAGTTTATTCTCAGTGGGTTCTTCACACATTCCTTACCTTTCTAGTTCTCCCAAAGTCTGAATTAGGAAGGTGGTGAGTGCCAGGGGTCCCCTAGGCCCGCCTTTCTAGTTGATTTTCTTTCTGGACTACTCCTTAGGCTATCACTGCTGGCTACTTTTACCACACAGCACGGCTGACACGTAGTGGCTATCGCACTGTGAAACAGCAGCAGACAGTGTTCATTCATCCCAACTCTTCCCTCTTTGAGCAACAGCCACGCTGGCTGCTCTACCATGAACTTGTCTTGACCACCAAGGAGTTCATGAGACAGGTAAGGGACCATCCCAGAGATTGTATGGGGAAATTGTGCTGGCAAGGTAAGAACCCAGGTTCAAGTTCCTAGGACTGGCACAATAACAGGAAAATAAATTGTTTAAGGTAGGATCAAGCCATTCTTTCTAATAGCTTCTCAGTGCCTTACAAGATCTGAGAACTAAGCTGGGCACACTGGAATATACCTGTAACCCCAGTGACACAGGAGGATCACAAGTTCGAGGCCAGCCTTAGTAACTTAGTAAGACCCTGTCTCAAAAAATAAAAAGGGCTAGCAATATATTTCAGTGGTTAAGTACCCCTAATTTTCAATCCTCGGTATGTGTCTGTGTGTGTATAAATAAATATTTGCCCACTGTCTCAGTGTTTTAAGGTACTGGGCTGTAATGGCAAACAAAGCAGACGTAGTCTGTCCTCACAGAATATACTTTATTTAGTCTCTTTGTTCTAGGCTTTTCTTAGGGATAGCTTACTTGATATCTTAAGTACATGTAGAGGTATGTTTGCCTTTTGGGTATAGAGCCAGGAAACTTTTCCTTTAGCTCTTCAGTCAAAAGGGAAAGAGGTACGGTATCATGTACTGAAATTGAATTCCATGCATGTATGAGTTAGGATGAACCCAACTGCTATGTATAACTATAAAAGCTCTTAAAAAAAAAAAAAAAAAAACCCCCCCCCCGCAAAAAAAAAAAAAAAAGAGAGAAAGAGAACATTTGTTTGACCACATACACTTAAGATTCGTGATTGGGGGCTGGGGTTAAAGCTCAGTGGTAGAGCACTTGCCTAGCAAGTGTGAGGCATCAGGTTCAATCCTCAGCACCATATATAAATAAGCAAAATAAAGGCCCATTGACAACTAAAAAAAAAAATTTTTTAATACCTTTATTTTATTTATTTATTTATTTTTATGTGGTGCTAAGGATCGAACCCAGGGCTGTGCATGTGCTAGGCAAGCACTCTACCACTGAGCTACAACACCAGCCTTCTTTTTTTTCTTTTAAAAAAATTCGTAATTGGATAGAAGGTAATACTACTGATACTTTCTGTTTATTCTAGGTATTGGAGATTGAGAGCAGCTGGCTTCTGGAAGTGGCTCCCCATTATTATAAGGCCAAAGAGCTAGAAGATCCTCATGCTAAGAAAATGCCCAAAAAAATAGGCAAGACACGAGAAGAACTAGGGTAGAGGAAAGGAGACAAATAGAACCTGACACCAGCTCCTCCTTTTCCTTCCATATATTATTTAATATCTACTAAATAAAATTATTTTTGGAATAAATCTTGTGGAAACTTTTGAAGTCCAGAGAAAGTGACATCAAATCCATCCCATATTGTTACTTTATTATTTACAAGTTAAATTACACAGCAGCTTTACACAGCATGAGATGGAGAGGAAGGAGAGAAAAGGAAAAGCAGCTGGCTCAAGATTCTTGGCCACCTCCACCTCCTTCTCTTGTGCGTAGCAAAGTCTTCAGTGCTGCTTCCCTCCCAGTTCTTGGCTCAGGCCTTGGAACACACGTGTACGTTGGGTTCTGGTTCTGACAGCCCCAGGGCCACCAAGGCTCCCATCAGCAGCTTCTTTACAGGCGTTGAGGGTGAGTGTGAAGGCATCAGCTGCAGGGAGAGCAGTTAATGCCAGTTGGGAAGGGGCACACAAATGTTCCTTTTATCTTAGCCCCAAGACTCACCTTGTCTAGACGATGTCGACAAATGAGGCCGCTGGAATTCAGGTAGAAGGTGGAATAGGCATCATAGGTCCTGGTGATCGGGGAGAGAGGCTTACTTAGGGAGAAGGTCCCTGGTCCCAAAGCTTAACTCAAGCATTTGTTCAAATGAGGAGTTATTAAGTTTTATTACGTATTAGATCACCTGAGGGAACTTTTAGAAATTGCAAAGCTGAGGTTGCACCTTGAGCAATTAAATTGAACAGTCTGGCACCAATATCTAAAGATCCTTAGGTGATTCCAATGTTCAGTAAGTCAGTACCTATACTATAGGCCAGGTAAAGGTACCTGAAGAAATTGAAATTCAGGTTTCTTTTATAGACACAGTGTCTCACTGAGTTGCTTAGCACCTTGCTAAGTTGCTGAGGCTGGCTTTGAACTCAGGATTCTCCTGCCTCAGCCTCCTGAGCTGCTGGGATTACAGGCATGTGCCACTGTGCCTGGCCCAGAGGTTTCTTAATATATTCAAAATCCTTATTGTTTTTGCTATAGAATAAAACAGATCCCTCAAGTGAGGGCAACTCACGGATTGGAGACTAGATAGTCAAAGTCTTAAAAGGTATGATAAGGAACTGATTATAGTTTGGATCTTTTCCCATTTCTCTTACCGGTAAAGCTCTTCTTTGTCACGCTTGTAGAAACGCAAAAAGAGCATGTGAATGGGAAGTCCTATGAGCCGCCAGCGGGCTTGTAGGGTCCAATTCTCAGGGTGGCGGGTCAGCTGTAGAACCTCTAACCGAAGTTGTGCAAAATAGTTCCAGGCCAAGAAGCGGCAGAGGGTCAGTGACAGAATGTACCATGTCCGGCCCCTATGAAAAAATGATGGGAAAGAAATCTCCACAATGACAGAATCAGAAAAACAAACTGGTTTCCGTCACAGGAATGGCAGACACTTGTGAGAAGCTATCCAGAATCCAAGAAGTAAAAAGAGTCAAGTGTATAGCATTGGGTCCTTTTCCCTTCCCAGCCTTACCCATGTCAATTCTTACTTGGTACGTATGCTCAGAATCTCATTGATAAATTCCACATCGGATGAATAGAGAGTATAGTCATGGGAGTGAAGGAAGAGGTTGGGAAGCTAGGTGGAAGAAGAGATATGAACTCAGTAGAAAATAAAGATGATCCAATTTCTCAGTTTTCTATTTTTAGGGCCTTCTTATCCCCTCTGAGTGAAAGGTCATCTCTTCCCACGTTTGACCTCCCTTAATCTCAATAAAAGAGCATCTTTTTCCTTGGGAAAATGTTCACAGCACAGTTCTATGCCTGCCTGATGGTTCTAAGATAGTCCAATTGACTAAACTATTTTTAAGGATTATTTATATTCTTTTCCACTATAGATGAAGACCACTCTTGAACTGACTTACCTCTTGTCTCAGTCTCTCATACATGACAGCCAGGTGTTCCTCCATACTAGGATCTCCTGATGGGGTGGTAGGGGAAGGATGGGCAGTTCCAGGGGCTTGGAAAGGTGTCAAAGCCCCAGGATATGGGCAGGGAGGTCCCTCAAAAAGGCTCCGAAGTCCATCTAAGCAGCGGCTGTGCAACTCTGGTCCTGGTCCTTCCTCCCCCTTTCCTGGAGGGAGAACTACCCACGGTGAGTTGAGGGCCTGGATCTGAGGGAGAGGTAGTAGACAAGGCCTGGGGACAGGCTGGGAGGGAGGATGTGGGAGTCGAGGGGACCACAGAAGAGGAGAAGATGGGGAAGTGGTGGTTGTGGAGTGGGGCCAAAGGGGTGGGAATGGTAGAGTCCGAGAAGAAATCTGGTCCTAAGGAGACAGAACAAGAGAAAAAGGTAAGAATCCAGTTGCCTCATGAACAGGCTTCCAATCCCACCTACTACTACTGACAGAGGAGCTGAGACTTGCTAGAAGAAAAAAAAGGTACAGATTCACTTCCATCTCTACTGAAAATGGGAGGAAATAGTTTGATGTACCACAGGTACTAGTAACTCCCTCAATTAATAGCAAATGCCTTTACATTAATACTCCAACATTGGCTGGGAGCCATGGTGCACTCCTGTAATCCCAGCAGTCTGGGAGACTGAGACAGGAGGATCGTGAGTTCAAAGCCAGCCTCAGCAATTTATTGAAGCCCTAAACAACTCAGCAAAAACGCTGTCTTTAAATAAAATACAAAAAAGGGCTGGGGATGTGGTGTGGCTCAGTAGTCAAACGCCCTGGGTTCAATCCCCAGCACCAAAAAACAAAAAAACCAAAACAACCAATACGAGTCCTAGGGGCTAGTTTCACTTCTCTTATAGTAAGGATCATATGAGAATAGATATTTGGTAAATGAATAATAGGTTTGATTGTACTCTGAGTGAAAATGATGTAGTCTACAAGACATCTCCATAATTTAATATGCCAGGCAAATGTAGCACAGGGAAAAGAACGTACGACTGAAGCTAGGAATCCAAGTTCCCATTTTATTGTGCACTTTCATCCCTATACCTCAGTTTCTTATAAATAAGGATGATGAAGCCTCATTAGGTTTTATAAGATATTAATGAATGTAAATAAAACTCTGTCACCCATAAAATAGAACGTAAATGGAAGCTATTATTTCAGTGCCACTATTATTTATGCCACTAAATAGTAGACTATTAAAGGATGAACTTCATTTCCCGGTTTACTAACGTTAAAACTGACAAGATGGGAAGTCACCCACTAAGGTTTGACCCGAGTCTCGGCTCCCAAGGAATCCCCTGGGAGTTTCACTTCCCGGAGGGCTGGTGGGCCGTGCGGGTACCTCAGTCCCGGACAGTGACCCAGAGGCGCATCTCTGATGGGGGCGTGGTCATGTTGCCCGCCCATGCACAGGGGTCTGAATTGGGTCCACCGGGTCCGGCTTTCCTGCCGGGACCACTCTCCAGATGCAGGATGTGCGGACTGCACAGCACGGCCTGCGGTTCTGGTCCGGGCTGACGAACTCCCTGCCGCGCTGCGGCCGGGATTCGAGCCTCTGCCCCTGCCCTTCAAATCACCTCCACGCACAGGTAATCAAAGAGTCTCGGGCGCAACGCAGTCGCTCCAGGCTGCCTGGACGTCGACCACGCTCGCCCGCTCTCAGGACAGAGCTAACATGCCCCCACCAGCCGGGCAGAGGCTCTTACCCATGCCTGCGACCCTAGCCCCCTCCACACGACAATCCATACAGGTGGGAAGGGGCGGGGGGTGCCATTGCGCCTGCGCGGAACCCGGCGCGCGCTCCGCCCCACGCACCGGCTCTAAGAAGGGTCTTTCCCCGCCCCCTCTCCTCCCCTCCCGTCTTTCCTCTGCTCTCACCTGGGGTCGAGCCTGGTAGGCGCGAAAGCAGGGGCCGAGACGCTGGGCTGCCCCCCGGCTGGGGTGGTACATGATCTTCCGGGAACGGAGAGGGCGCCTCCCAAGTTTAGCCTCCAGCCTCCGACCTCCTCACAGGGGTGAGCGTGCCCCAGAGCCGGCTTCGTGAAGGGGAAAGGAAGGGGGGGGAAGGGGCTGAGGGGAGGAAAACGGAGATGTTGCGCGCTTGCGCACTGCAGGCTCCAGGGAAGCAGCTGCGCTCGGTTCGCCGTTAAGTGCGCCTGCGCTCGCCAGACCGACGCTACCTTATGGCGCTTGCGCAGCAAATTAGCGGCACTGAACTGTACAAGTGCCTGTGGCACTTGCGCAGCAACCTAGGCGAGGATGCGGCTGAACCGTGTGAAAGGGGAAGGGTGGGGACGGGGAAGGAGAGGAGCACCTTGAAGAGGGAGGCTTGAATCTGCTGAATCACCAGTTTGATTTAAGGGTTCAATTAAAGATATCCACTATGAAGAGAGGGCATATGTGCCAGGGCAGTATTCAGTGTGAAGAAAAAGCTTGGAAGGAACCATCAAAGTAACCAGGAAATTGGACTTTAAGACTCAGAAACCAAACTAGATCAAACTAGATATGATTGCTTATAATTGCAAAAGTGAACAAAGAAACAAAATCCAAGCTGAACCTAGGTGAGAGATGACATTACCAATTGGTGAGAAGAATGCATTTGTGGTACATATTTGTAGTTCTGGGTATACTTTGTGTTGCTACCACTTTGGATCTTAATTTTCTGGATTAAGAGAAATAATGACGATCAAGTTTTTAATAGCCTTTTTATTTATAAAAATAAATACTTTTATTACTTTGGTTAAAAATAAGATACAAATGATCTGGAGCTGATAGGAAAGCCTGTTGAATGAATGAATGAATGAAAACATCCATTAGGAGGGCTGGGCTTTGGCTGTCTCCTGTAATGAGGAAGAAATAATACTGACTTTGAAAGTGTGAAAAAGGGCTGTGGTCACCAAGGCCTGGTGCTGCGACGTTCCTGCAGGTTTCGAATGAACCTGGCGTTGAACATGTCCCCACCCACTGTCCAGGACTGGGATGGTGGAGCTTGGGCCTGTTGAGGAACTGTATGTGTGGGTTCCTCCCCAGACCCATCCTGTGACAAGACCTGCTCCTCACTGGCAGACCTGGTGAGTGAGGAGATGGAGAGTGCGTTATAGAGGCACTTAAGTGGGAATTACAAATACAGATTCTTTAAAGGCTCATAGGTGGCAGATGTTAATGTAGAGGAGGACACATGGAACCCATTAAAATTATATCCAACTTAAAACTCCTCAGAAACTAAAGGGAAGCAACAGAGTCGAACCTTTGAGGAAACAGGCTTGTAGGATGTTAGTAAGAAGGATTTGTGGGAGGAGCTGATGTCCAGTTCATAGGAGCAAAATTTAGGAAAAGGAAATAGCTGAGTAAAAATCTTCAGAAAATGGTGGAAACTGTTAGGGGAGGGGTTTACACCTCACCTAATCTCTGTTTCCTGTTCTGCGAACTTCAATTCTTGTTTGCCTGTGAAAATATCAGGCATGTGCATGGGAAGGCTGAGGCAGATAGTGGATGTGGCCTACTTTGAGGATAGAAGGAACAAATACTTACCTGAACTGGGGGATGAGGAATTAGGCCCCCCATGGCGGCTGTAGCAGCAGCTTTGGGCTACCAGCCCTGGGGGAGTCCCCCTGTAGAAGAAATGGGAGATGATGGGGAACAGGCTACAGGATGAAAGATGAGTGAGTATGGAGGGATCAGAGGAGAGGAATAAGAGGAACAACACAAGAACAAAGAGAAGGGGGTTAATTATCATTCCTAAGGGGTTTTAATCTTAGATGTGCTCCAGAGGGGGAGGGAGCTCATTTTACATCCCAGTTTTCTGGATCAATCCTGAGTTGTTGCTGTTTTCTTTCTAGTTGATATTATGTGAGAAATGTATGGCTAAAGTGACCCAAATCATGTCATAAGAGCAGGCTCACAGGGGCTGGTGATGTGGCTCAAGCGGTAGCGCGCTTGCCTGGCATGTATTAGGCACTGGGTTCGATCCTCAGCACCATATAAAAATAAAATGTTTAAAAAAAAAAAAAAAAGAGCAGGCTCATATATAAGCAAAAAATAATTTGCTGGACCACGTACCCTGATGTTTGGCTTGAAAAATATGGTTACCTTAAATATAAGACACCTCAGATTAAAGGGAAATAGGGAATGACAAGGCCAAATTTAGGAGGAAAAGGAAGGAAGCTTTGGAACAGGATAACAGACTGTCTTGAACTCTAAATGGAGGTAACAGCTTGACTTGAAAGAAATTCAAGGAATTAGTGGGTCACAGGTTTACAGGAAATTGCAGCATGGTAAGAGTCCAGACAACAGTTGGTAGGTAATTAGTAGATCCCAAGATATTGATAAATCTTGACAGCAAGGGCTGGCCAAAGTCAAGGGCAGAAGTCACTGGGGAGACCTGGAGGGAACAGGGAGTGGATATAGAAGCCCATACAGGGGGATCTAATGACTCCATGAGGAAAAACAGCTTAGGTTTTTGTTTTGTTTTGGTGATGCTGGGGATTGAACCCAGGGCCTTGTGCATGCTAGGCAAGCACTCTACCAACTGAGCTACATCCCCAGCCTGGGAAAACAAACTTGGAAGGAGAAAAATCAGCAAAGAAGATGCATAGGGACAGATGCCAGATCCTAGAAGGGGAGCTCTGATACTTCTTGGAGGAAGATCTGCCAATCTCAGAGGTGAAGAGGATGAAAGGGACAGAGGTCTTGAGACCCCAGAAAAATAAGGGGTGACATAAAAATGAGGCTGACACCTTAAATTGTTTCTTATGTAGTTTTTTTTTTTTTTTTTCATTGAAAAGGTCAATTTAGAAAACACAGAGGAATTCAGCTTTATTCAGACAACACAGAGGGAGAAGAAAAGGGAGGAGTGAGTGGGGAGAGAGGGAGATCCTGCTCCCAAGGCTTTGAGGGAACACAGTAGAAGTATCTGATCTACCACACATTCAGAGGGTGGAAAGGGGAAGGATCTAGCTGTACCCCGTGCATGGAGCAGGGAAGGAGGGTCTTGCTAAGAGGGAAGAAGAGAGGAAGGCCAGTGGAAGAGTGGTCCTCCATCTCATTTCAAGACAATCTCACAAGACAGAGGTTTATCAGCATAGCTACCAGGGAGGGACAGATGGGAGAGGGGATTCCAGGATCAAACAAATCCTTGAGACCCAGACTTATCTTCAAAACATGACTAAAAGTGATCCCAGGGTGCTTGCTGGGATCTACTGCCCAGAAACAAAATCTGGATCTGAAGGAAGCAGTGGCATCAATGAATCTTCTTTAGAGACCCCAAAGCAACATCAGTTTGGGGGTTCCCTGATACATACACAAAACATGGAAATTAAGAGTTTGGCAACATTGAGTTGAACCCCATTGGGGAGCCGGTGAGTCCCTGTCCTATCTAATTGGACTGCTCTAAAGCCAAGCTTGAACACTGGCTAGAATGAACAGGCTGAAAGGGCAAGTGTGGTAGGCAGCATAAACAGTATTAGAACCACCACTGGACTCTGGGGAAGGAATATGGGATTATTCCATGGACAGGACTCCTTAAACAGTTTTCCCTGGTAGAGGAGGCTCTAGGACCTTCCATGGTAGTCTGAAGTCTGATGGCAAGCAAGAGTGTGCTTCTCTAAGTAATCAGTATGAACTGGGGATACAGCTCAGTTTGTAGAGTACTTGCCTAGCATGTGTGAGGCCCTGGGTTCAATCCCCAGCACCACACACACACAAAGTTCAATTAATTAGTATGAGCCACCCACCCAAGGGTCTGGCTGTCTGGGGATGTTCAGGCCAAGTTGGGAGAGCAGGGGTGCCTTCTGTAGTAAGAAAAGCTACAAGTAGTATGCCGTTTGGGACCCTGACAACCCAGTTGTCTAAGAAAGGGGAAGAGGGAATCCCATGGGCTCTGTCAGGTTCCACTGGGTCCTGGAGGATGCAATGGAAGAGTGAATCTGAGGTTCTCAGGGAAAGTAATCTCTGTCTACCCCAGGTCTCCCGGGGGAGGAAAGGGGTGACTGTCAGTATCGACTCTCATCAGAGCGGGGAAGGGAGCTATGGAGAGATGTTATGGACAGGAAGAAGGGAAAGGAAAAATGGGGGAGAGAGAAAAACAGAAGTCAGAAGTGAAAAGAAAGCTAATGAGAGAAAGGAGATACCCACTACCTGCTTGCTGGGAAGTGTTCTTGGCACACAAGGCATTGACCCTGGGGACCCAGGGGTTCATAAAATGTGTTAAGTGATACTGCTCATCTCTAGCAAGTGTTAAACCAAGATTTCCCCCAACCCAATGGATTTCTGAATTTTTCCCACCCTTCTCACATTAAAACTAGGGCTTAAAATTCTTCCCACCCTTCTCACATTAACTCTCACATTAAAACTAGGGTCCCTAGGTTCTTTCTCTCAAACTTTTTTCCAGATCACTTCCACAAATATTTTTCAATATGTTTCTTCAAAGGTTTTGGGACTCCTCTATCTACCCATAGGTTTTGGGACACCCTAATCCACATCTCTGACAGATTCAAATTATCCTTTGCCATTTCTAAGCTCCTCTTACACATACCAAGAACTCTCCAAGTTCTATTACCTGGTGCGGCGACGCTGTGCTGGGCTGCCCCCAGGGTCGGTGGCCAGCAGAAGACGAGCAGTAGGATGGGGTGGGCAGAGGCGCAGGGAACGTAGTAGTTCCTGCTCTGGCACAAAGGGGCGGAGAGGGCCCCGTTCTGGCGAGTTTCCTAAGCTGCTGGAGCGGGGTGGTGGGTGAGCTGGAGGTGTGGCACGGCGAGGGGCCCTGTTTAGAGGCCAAGGAGGCTCCACAGCTACCTTCAGAACTGGAGGAGATAAGGGAAAAACAAACAAAAAAGAGAAGAGTCAAGATTAGGTTAAAAAGATTAGTAATTAGATTAGTAAAGATTAGGTTAAAAAAAAAAAAATCAGAGCCATAGAGATCACCATCCTTCCCCTGGGTCCTGAGCACCCTTTTTCCTACACATTAAGCTCCCCAGGCCCAGCCACACCCTATCAAACCCCTCTTACATTCTCGGTCACTAGAGGAATATGGCTTAATATCTCCCTCTGCTCTCTTGGGTGGCAGCTTCCTTGCTGGAGCTGGTGGTGGAGGGGACAAAGGTAAGGGAAGAATTAGTAAATATACTTTGTACCCTCCTCCCCACCACTACCCCCACAACCCCACATCTCTACTCCCTAATACAACAGTTCCTCCTGAGAATGCCATCGCAGAAGCCGTGCTATGGCAAAGCCAGCACACCAAAGGGAATTTTGGGGGGGAATGCTGGAGCACTTTTGGGGAGAGCCAGAAGGAGTAGGCCGAACACAGAATTAAGGGATAAAACCCAAGGGGAGACTGGGGGCCTGGGAGATGCGGGAAAAGGGTGGCCAAGAGGAGGCAAGCTCTTACTGTCCATGGGTGCTGTCAGGCCCCCTTGGGGTTCTGGGGCAGTGGAATGGTCCCAGCTGGGCCAGTGAGGACCCTAGGTTCCTCTAGATGAGATGGACAAAGCCCTTGGTTAATTGGGAATTGCTCTGGAGAGGTCGAGGAAGAGGGGGGTGGGACAAGACCTCCCCTTCCTGTGCAAAAAGATGTGGAGAGATTGAAGTTTTATTAGGTTTAAAAAAGAAAAAAAGATGAAGAGAAAATGTAGGCACCCAAAAGGAGCTATCAGTAAGTAGGAGCTGAAATAGTGGCCAAAGCTCTCCCTTCCTGCTTCTTAAGAGGTTCTCCAAGACTAGCAGACACAGCCACTTAAGCTTTATCCACAGCGCCCTCTTCTGGAGATCTTCATTCTCACCCTCCCTGCAATGAGGAAGCCTTGTAAACCAACGCCAGTCACTCATATCAGTGTTTGATGCAGGCTGATGCTAATAATGGGCAACAGACTATTCTTTGGGTGGCCATTCTTTCCTTTCCTGATCATACAGCAAGGCAGGAGCTAGCCATAAGGTCAGCCCAGGAAGAAGACCCATCTGTCTATACTAGCAAGTACTGCACAGCTAGTGAAAGCTACACTGTTCTCCTTGAGGATATGCTGAGGGAGAGGAAGAATGGGGCTCAGACTGATAGGCTATGTGTATGTATATGAGGATGGGACAGGAAAACTGGTCAGCACTGTAGGTGTGGTTTCTCCAGGTCTATTTCATTATTTAGCTGGAAATGCCATAAATTCTTGACATTGCCTTCTAAAACTAATGTTTAAACTTTGGACCATTCATATTACTCTTCTACATTTGGAAATGGCTGCACTTGCCTGTCCTTCCCTGGCCTATAGAAGCGTGAGGGGTTAAAAAAGGAATATAACCCTGGCCTATTTTGATGAATTTGACCTAGCAATTGGCTCCACTCATCTCAATTGTCAAACAGGCTCTGAATGGGCTTGCTTAGTTATGAATCTTGTCAAGTATGGTGCTGGGTATGTAGTCCATGTAGAGCTCATGCTTAGCATTCACAAAGCCCTGGTTTCAATCCCTAGCATCAAAAATTAAAAAAAAAAAAAAAAAAACCTGTCAAATATAAAATGCACTGAACTCCCATGAGGACAAAGGAAAACAGAATGAGTGCTGGAGACATGGATTACTTCAGAATTTTCAAAAATTGCCCATGGAAAACACTGTCCTCCTGGGGTTTCTAGAATAACTAGCCATCACTGTGCTACAGTTCCACACATTTGATGCAGGCTTTACCAGCAGGCATGGGATCAGCTGCAGCAGCACGAGAATGTCGAGTTGCCCTCGGAGAGGGAGCAGGGGGCCCTGTGAGGAAGGAAGTGGTGGTGCCCCTAAGTGGGGGCCAGTGGGACCAAGAGCCCACCTCTTTCCTTCCGTCGTCCCAACTACATGACAACACAAGATGAGAAAACTTACGATGCTGATGGGCAAAGAAGCCTTCAAAGATCACAAAGTTGTTCACCTAGAAGATGAAAGCAAAGTATATTTGTCCATTCAGCCACTGAGCACATTACAGAGCCTGTACCAGAAAAACCACAGTAGAAGAAGAAAAGCCAGATTTCTTATCCTTGGTAACAGACCAAAAACCTAGACCCCCAAGAAAAGATTAAACAAATACCCCCCACACACACACATCCAGCATACCAAAAAACTCAGACCCCAAACAAGCTGATCCTAAAGCTCATGTGGAACTGCAAAGAACCTCCAAGAGCCAAACAATGTTGAAGAAGGATAAAACTAGAAGACTTGCCAGATGTGGTGGCGCACTCCTGTAATACCAGCAGCTCGGGAGGCTGAGACAGGAGGATAGCGAGTTCAAAGCCAGCCTCAGCAATGGTGAGGCGCTAAGCAACTCAGTGAGACCCTGTCTCTAAATAAAATACCAAATAGGGCTGAGGATGTGTCTCACTTGTTCCTGGGGTGTCCCCCCCCCCCCCCCCCCAAAAAAAAAAAAAAAAAAAACTGGAAGCTTAACTTTAAAACTATAGGAATCAAAACAATATGGTGCCAGAGGCATTAGTGCACACCTGTATTCTCAGTGGCACGGGAGGCTGAGGCAGGAGGATCACAAGTTCAAAGCCAGCATCAGCAACTTAGCAAGGCCCTAAGCAACTTAGTTGAAACCCTGTCTCAGAATAAAAAACAAAAGAGGCTGGGATGTAGCTGAGTGGTTAAGCACCCCTGGGTTAAATTCCAAGTACAAACAAACAAACAAAAAACCCAGTGTGGTAGAAGAGTACTAAAAACACACACAACAGTGTGGTGTGGCACAAGGACAAACCAATCAATCAAAAGAATGGAACTGAGAGTTCAGAAATAAACTCATATGTCTAGGGTCAACTAATTTTCAACAAAAGTGCCATAATCATTCTACAGGGAATGAACAGTCTTTTAAAAAGTTAATGCTTGAACAACTGAACATCCCACATTCAAGATTATAAATTTGGACCTCTATCTCATATATCATTTTGACCTCAAACAGCGTCAAAGACCAAATGTAAAAGATAAAACTATTGCCAGACAGCTCTTCAGGAGACTGAGTGGGAGAATCCTGAATTCAAGGTTGGCACAGCAACAAGACACCATATCTCAATGGCAAAAAGAAAGCTAAAACTATGCAACTTTTTTTTTCAGTAATAGAGGAACACAATACCTTTATTTATGTATTTTTATGTAGTGCTGAAGATCAAACCCAGTACTCCACACATGCTAGGCAAACGCTCTACCACTGAGCTACAATCCCAGCCCCAAACTACGAAACTCAGAGGAAAGCAGGAAGCAGGAGAAAAATCTTTGGTACCTTGGATTGAACAGGCTTTTTAAAAAGTTTAGTTTTTTTTTTTTGTACCAGGGATTGAACTCAGGGGCACTTGACCACTAAGCCACATCCCCAGTCCTATTTTGTATTTATTTAGAGCAGAGTCTCATTGAGTTGCTTAGCACCTCGTTTTTGCTGAGGCTGACTTTGAACTCACGATCCTCCTGCCTCAGCCTCCAGAGCCACTGGGATTACAAGCGTGCACCACCACGCCCAGCAAGGGTTGATTTTTTTGATGCCAGGGATTCAAGCCAAGCCCTTGTACTTACTAAGCACAGAGTGCCCTGAGCTACACTCTCAACTCCAGGCAAGAGTTTCTTCTAACAGTCCCCTACCCCCATCATTAGTACAGGGTATCGAACTGGGAGGAATTCTTCCACTGAGCAATATCCCCAGCCCTTTTTATTTATTTTTTTTAGACAGGGTCTTACACTAAATTTATGATCCTCCTGCCTCAATCTCCTCAGTCATTGGGATTACAGGCATGTGCTACTGTGCCCACCTCAGGCAACAGTTTCTTAAATATGACACCCAAATCAGAAACAACAAAAGAAAAAGCAGATAAATTTGATTTCACAAAATTAAAAATGTTATACTTCACTATCAAAAAAGGGCTGGGGTTGCAGCTCAGTCGCAGAGTGCTTGCCCAGCATGTGTGAGGCACTGGGTTCAATACTCAGCACCGCATATAAATAAATAAAAAATAATAGAGGTCCTTTGACAACAACAAAAAATTATTTTTTAAAAAAAGGGAATAGACAATCTCCAGAATGGGAGAAAAATCACACACTGATAAGATTGTTATATTGAGAATATATTTAAAGAACTCTTACAACTTAACAACAGACAACATAATTTAAAAATGGATAAAACATTTGCATAAATGTTTCTCCAAAGATATACGAATGGCTAGTAAAGCTGGGCGTGGTGGCACATACACGCCTGTAATCCCAGGGACTCCGGAGGCTATGGCATGAGGGGTTGCTATTTCAAGGCCAGCCTCAGCAATTTAGCAAGGTCCTAAGCAACTTAGCAAGACCCTGTCTCAATAAAATAAATAAAAAAGAATGCTGGAGAATGTGGCTCAGTGGTTAAGCACTCCTGAATTCAATCCTCAGTACCCCTCCCCCCCAAAAAAAAATTGCTCAAGAATAAATAAATAAGTGTTTAACATCAGTAGTCATTAGAGAAATACAAATCAAAACCACAGAGGCTAGGCTTGGTGACACATGCCTGTAATTCTAGCTTCTCAGAAGGCTGAAGTAGGAGGATCACAAACTCAAGGCCAGCCTAGAACGTAGTGAGACCCTGTCTCAAAAAATAAAAAGGGCTAGGGATGGTGGCTTAGTGGTAGAATACTTGCCTAACATGCAAAAGGCCCACAGTTCAATTTCTACTACCACCAAAAATAAATAAATAAATAAAACCCCCCAAGCAGCCCACAAAAAGATACCACACTTCATACCCACCGGAACGGCTGCTATTTAAAAAAAAAAAAAACAGGGGCTGGGGCTGGGGCTCAGTGGTAGAGTGCTTGTCTAGGGAGTGTGAGGCACTGGGTTCAATCCTCAACACCACATAATAAATAAATAAATAAATAAATAAAGATGTTGTCTCCATCTACAATTAAAAAAAACAAAAACAACAAAAAGAAAAATAACAAAAGTTGACAAGAATGTGGACAAATTGGAACACTCCTACATTGCTTGGGGATGCAATAAAGATGATAAAGATGATACTGCCACTGTGGAAAAACAGCTTGTCAGTTCTTAAAAGTTAATTACTATATGTCACAGCAATTCAAGAAGACTAAAAATATGTGCAAACAAAATCTTGCGCATGAATGTTCACAGCAATATTATTCAAAGACAAAAAATAAAGGTAGTCATACATCTAACACTTGATAAATACAATAAACAAAATGTTGTACAGGGGCTGGGGTTGTGGCTCAGCGGTAGAGCACTCACCTAGCATGTGTGAGGCCCTGGGTTCAATCCTCAGCTCCGCATAAAAATGAATAAATAAAATAAAGATATTGTGTCCAACTACAACCAAAAAATAAATATTAAAAAAAAAATGTGGTACATTGCTGGGTATGGTAGCACATACCTATAGTCCCAGATACTCAAAAGGCTGAGCCAAAAGAATGACAAGTTTGAAGCCAGCCTGGACAACTTAGTAAGACCCTTTCTCAAAATGAAAATAAAAAAAGCTGGGAAGGGGCTGGGATTGTAGGTCAGTGGCAGAGTGCTTGCCTAACATATGTGAGGCACTGGGTTTGATTCTTAGCACCACATAAAAATAAAATAAAATAGGGGCTGGGGTTGTGGCTCAGTGGTAGAACGCTCGCCTCACACATGCAAGGTGCTGGGTTCGAGCCTCAGCACCACATAAAAATGAGTAAATAAAAGTATTGTTTCCAACTACCACTAAGAAAAAAATTAAAATAAAGGTCCATCAACAACTAAAAAAATATATATTGAAAAAAAGGGCTGGGGAGGTAGATCAGTGGCAAAATGTTTTGTCTTACATGTGTGAGGTCTTGGGCTCAATCCTCAGCACTGCAAAACAAAACAATAAAAACAAAATGTGTGGCATTATCCATACAATGGAATGTTATTCAGCCATATGAAGGAATGAAGTACTGCTACATGCTACAACATGGGTGAACTCTGAAAACATTATGCTAAGTGAAAGAAGCCAGACACAAGAAAAGGCCATATCATGATTATATGATTCTTTGTATATGAAATATCCAAAATAAGCAAATCCCAACAGCAATAGATTAGTTGTTGCCAAGGGCAGAAGGAAGGGGAATAGGGGTAACTGCTTAATAAGAATAAAAAGAAAGAATATATTTATTTCTGTGTTGTTGGAAATTGAACTCATTGGGCTTGCTGTGCTTGGCGACAATCTCTGAGATAACTTCCCCAGTCCTTTTTATTGATTTATTAAAAAATTTTTGAGACAGATTTCTGAGTTGCTCAGGCTGGCCTTGAACTTATGATCCTCCTGCCTCAGTCTTCTCTCAGTACCTGGGTTTACAGTTATGTGCCACTGCACCTGGCCTAGTGTCTCTTTTTGAGGGATGGAAATGTTCTGGAAATAGACGGTAGATATAATTCCCCAATACTGTCATTATTAAAAACAAAAACAACCCTATACATTAAAATGGTTAAAATGGTAAAATTTATCTCAAAAACAAAACAAAAGCCAGGCATAGTGGTGCATGCCTGTAATCCCAGGGGTTAGGGAGGCTGAGGCAGGAGGATCGAGAGTTCAAAGCCAGCCTCAGCAACTTAGCGAGGCCCTAAAGCAACTTAGAGAGACTCTGTGTCTAAATAAAGTATAATATAAAAGGGCTGGGGATGTGGCTCAGTGGTTAAGTCCCCCTGAGTTCAATATCAGGTACCAAACCAAACCAAACTAAATCAAACAAAAAAAAACCCAGAATCAGCTTTTAAGTCTACCAGGAACAAGGTTAATGGAGTTACAGTGCACAAAACTAAGTACACAAACACTTAAGAAATATTAAGAATTCAGCAGAGTTCAAATGGGTAGAGCTAGTTAAGGCAAGACATGTGCCCATATGACAACTAGTAGCTGTTTATTTGAGAGTTATTTACTATCACATTCAATTTGGCCTTCACAACAGTACTTGGAGTCACTGTTTTTTTTCTTTTTTGAGCATACTGGGATTGAACTCAGAGCCTTGTGCATACTAGACAATGTCTACCACTGAGTGAGTTAACCCCTAGTCCTTTTAAATATTTTTAGTTTCAATTTGTTTAGGGGGTTAGTGGGGATTGAACTCACAGGCACTTTACCATTGAACTACTACATCCACAGTCCTTTTCATTTTTATTTTGAGATACAGTCTTGCTAAGTTGCCCAAGCTGCCCTTGAACTTGTGATCTTCCTGCCTCAACCTCTGAGTACTAAGATTATGGCACAGGCCACTACACTTAGCCTTGAATCACTATTGAGCATTGTGATTAGTAGAGAAAAGCGGGGGGAGGGGGGGCGATATGGAGACATGGCTTACTCAACATCACACAGCTAAATTGGAAGGCCTAACCTTGAGACTTCTGATTTTAGCTATGGTGTTTTAGCCAGGAATACAGTACAGAGATTAAGAGTGAACTATGAGCTAGGTGTGGTGGCACACACCTGTAATGCCAGGTGCTTGAGAGGCTGAGGTAGGAGAATCACGAGTTTAAGGCCAGTCTGGACAACTTAGTGAGACCCTGTCTCAAAATTAAAAATAATAATAATAATAATAATAATAATAATAATAATAATAATAATGTAGTTCAGTGGTAGAACAGTTGCCTAATATGTACAAGACCCTGGGTTCAATCACTAGTACCACATAAAGAAAAAAACAAAACAAAATAGTGGCCTATGGAGGAGCTAGGCTAAGTGGTACATACTTATAGTCCCAGCTGCTCAGGGGTTAGCCTTGGAGTTTAGAACCACCCTAGGCAACATAGCAAGACCCTCTCTCAAAAAAAAAAAAAAAAAAAAAGAATATAGATTCAAATTTGGGCCTCTCCCACTTATTAACCGTATGAACTTGGTCAAGTCACTGATTTGTATAAATGAAAACAGAGCCAGGCCTGGTGGCGCATGCCTGTAATCCCAGCAGCTCAGAGGCTAAGGCAGGAAGATTGTGAGTTCAAAGCCAGCCTCAGCAGTGATGAGGTGCTAAGCAACTCAGTGAGACCCTGTCTCTAAATAAAATACAAAATAATGCTGGGGATGTGGCTTAGTGGTCGAGTGCCCCTGAGTTCAATCCAAGGATACCCTCCTGAAAAAAAAAAAAGGGAAAATAGAATCAGAGCACCTACTTCAAAGAGATATAAAAGGTTCCACTGGGATGATACAGGAAGCTTTCACATAGAGCTCATGCATTGTTAATTGTTATTATTTATATTCTATAACTGCTTTGGTCTTACATGTTAACTGATTAAGGTGTTTGATGTTAAATACTGTGCTCTTTCCACTGCTCTCTACTCCCTCTTAATGGAGAAATGCACTGTAGGAGGAATTTCTTTCTTTCTTTCTTTCTTCTTTTTTTTTTTTGGTGCTAGGGATTGAACCCAGGGCCTAGTGCATTCAAGGCAAGCACTCTACCAACTGAGCTATATCCCCAGCGCTGTAGGAGGAGTTTCTAAGTATACCCTGTCTATCTCTTGCCTTGACCTTGCTGTTGTGTTTACCAACTCAACCTTATCCTCTCCCCAGCAAGCACACACCTAGTACTCCAACCACACCACAATGCTTGCTCTGTCTTGCAAGGTGGTTTAATACCTCTCTGCCTTTGCTCATGCTGGTTCTTCTATATAGAATGCACTTTAACCTGCTGCTTCCTTCTTTTCTAACCTGACAAACATTTGCCTTTTAAGATTAAGCTTAACACCTATAAACCCAGAGACTTGGGAATCTGAGGCAGGAGGATAACAAGTTCAAAGCTAGCCTCAGCAAGTTTGTGAGGCTCTAAGCCACTTAGTGAAACCCTGCTTCAAAATAAAAAAATAAAAAGAGCTGGGGGATGTATCTCACTGGTTAAGCACCTCTGGATTCAGTCTCAGTACCAGGGGGGAAAAAAAAAAAAGCTCATATTAAGCTTTTCTTTACTCAACCTCTACTCCAATATAGCACTCACTATCAATGTCCTTATGCTTTGTCTCTACTCATGTCTATCAATTTATATTATCTTGGATGAATGGTCCACACTCCTATCCAAGGCTAACTTGTCAAACAAATCCCAACCCCTTTTGCCCACTCACCAACACTACTTCAGCAATTCCTCCCACTTTTGTGTCACCATCAAATTTTCTCTATACTGAATCATTCTTATACTGTTAGTTCTTCCATCTGAAAAGAATCAACCCTCTTTTGATCCACTTCCTCCTCTAGCTATTTGCTCTACTTTTCTCCTTAAAGTGGCATGATTTATATTTGAATTGAGCCAGGGCCTTGCACATTCTAGGCGAACACTCACCACTGACCTACATCTCCAGGTCTTAAAGTAGCATTTAAGAGTGGCCTATTCTTGCTGTCTCAAGTTCCTAGCTTCTCTGTCTCCAAACCCTGTCCATCTAAACCTTTACCTACCACTGCACTAAATAGCTCATCAGTATCACTAGTGATCCAAGGCAGCTAAATCCAGCAATCACTTCTCAGACCTCTTCTTAGCTCAATGATCATCAGCATTTTACTCAGAAAACCTTTTCTTCCTTTCAGAAACACTCTTCATCAACCTTCCAGGTTATCCCACTTTTAAGCTTTCATCTCCTTCACTAGTCTCTTGGTTACATCTGCTAGTTCTTTCTTCTGATCCTTACTCTCCTACGTGTGTGTGTGTGTGTGTGTGTGTGTGTGTTTTACTGGAGGTTAGGGCCTCATCCATGTAGGCAAGCATTCTACCACTGAGCTATATGCCAAGTCCTTTTCATTTTTTGAGACAAGTTTTCTCTAAGTTGCTCAGACTGGCCTCGAACTTGTGATCCTCCTCCTGCTTCAGCCTCCTGAGTTCCTGGGATTATAAGCGTGCACCACCACACCAGGTTTCTAACTTCTAGTTTCTCCCTAACTTCTTAAAGAGCACCCAAGAGCTTTCATATCCTTGATCCATTTACTCTCTCTTTAGTGGTTTCATCCTGTCTGGTTGCTTTAAATACTATATATATGCTGAAAACTATCTACCCCAAACCTCTTCTCCAAGGAAGTATCCAACTGTTTGCTCAACATGACATATCACAGACATCTCCAACTAACATATTAAAAATAAACTCCTAGGGCTGTAGCTCAGTGGCAGAGGCTCAATTAGCATGTGTGAGGCACTGGGTTATATCCTTAGCACTGCATAAAAAAAACTAAACAAATAAAGGCGTACTGTCCATCTACAACTATAAATAAATAAATAAACTCCTAGTATTTCCCCCAAAGATGATCTACCTATCATCTCATTAATGCAACATAATTTTTCCAACTGCTCAGGCTTTGGAGACCTCAATGCCCCATTTTCTCTGCATCCAGTCTATCAGGAAATCTTACTTGCTTTACCTTCAAAATATCTAAACTTTGACCACTCCTTACCATCTCTAATGCTGCCACCTTGGTCTAAACCACTACCATTTTTCATCAAGATTCTTACTTTCCTAACAACAATCCTTGTCTACTTGCTTCTACCCTTGCTCCTCTACTGCCTGTAACAACCAATGTGACATTGTTTAAAAAAAAAAAAAAAAAAAATCACAGCCAAAATGCTTTTATTTTTCACTTGGAGTAAATATCAAAGTATCTGCAGTAACTCATAAGTCCCTAAATATCCTTCCTTCTCCATTACCTCTCAGATCTCATCTCCTACCATATTTGCCCTTACTCATGCTTTTTTTTTTTTTTTTTTTTTTAAGGGGGGAGGGGGGGCGATGGAGGAGTACTGGGGATTGAATTCAGGGGCACTTAACCACCAAGCCACATTGCCAGCCCTATTTTGTATTTTATTTAGAGACAGGATCTCACTGAGTTCCTTAGCGCCTCACTGTTGCTGAGGCTGACTTTGAACTCAAGATTCTCTTGTCTCAATCTCCCAAGCTACTGAGATTACAGGCATGCACCACCATGCCTAGCACCATGTTGTTCTTTCAGGCACATTCCCAACTCATGGTCTTTGTGCTGGCCATTCTGTCTGTATTGGAATGTTGACCCTTCAGAAACCCATTGTATTTAAGTTTTTGCTCAAACAATAACTTCTCATTGATTATCCCTTTGGAACCTGTAATCTCCTACAGCCCCTCCCCATGGCACTCCCAAGTCTTATTTGCCTTCATTTTTCCAGAGCACTTACTATTAATCACAGTATAGATTTTACTTATTTATGTTTATCTGTCTCCCTAAGTAGAAATATAAGCCCCATAAGGGCTCCACAAGAACTTTTGTCTGTTTCACTGAGTAGAATATTCCTACTGCCCACAGCAGCGTCAAGCACTCAATAAATACTTGCTGAATGAATGGATACCATTATTAACTTATTTCAACAACTTATTATAGACAAGATCACCTTTCCTTTGTTTGACCAAAGCTCCCTGAGGAAGGACAGAGAATATATATCACTCTGGACCTTTGCTAAACCTTAATTGAAATTTTAATTAGCCAGTGTGAAACCAAGGAGGTGGAAGTGAGCTGTGCTGGGAGTGAAACTGAGGTTTAGGAAATAATCCCCGATAATCAAAAATACATGAGGATGAAATGACTGCAGGATGAGCAATGGTAGCAAAAGAAAGAGTTAAGCTGTATAAAATGAGTCCTATATGATGGGGAACAAGGAGCTCTTAGAAGTGCCACTTCTCTGCCCCAAATAATAAGTACAATGGAATTGTTCAGTAGGGATCTATAATCTAAACCTCTAACCTGTGGTACAGTAGTCTCCAGGTTGTAGTGCTTATTCAGGAACTTCAACAGCTTCTGTGAAGGTCGGTCAATGGCCAGTTGGTGTGGTTCAACTCGCTCCTTCTGCAGAGAATAGGAGACTCAGGGTAGGAGAGTGTAAGGGCAGAGCAAGCCAACAGGAACTTAGGAGATTTATAAGGGAATAGGGGGATATGGGATCACTGCAGTGAAGGAGAGCAGCAAGGCCTCTGGAAGGGCTCAGGGCAAAGGAACAGTTGATCTCTATTTTGGATGAGTGGTAAAGAAAGTGATACTGGGGCTGGGGATGTGGCTCAAGCGGTAGCGCGCTCGCCTGGCATGCGTGCGGCCCGGGTTCGATCCTCAGCAAACAAAGATGTTGTGTCCGCCAAAAACTAAAAAATAAATATTAAAAAAATTCTCTCTCTCTCTCTCTTTAAAAAAAAAGAAAGTGATACTGGGTGCTGTGGTGCAGCCTTTAATCCCAGAGACTTGGAAGGCTGAAGCAGGAGAATCATAAGTTCAAAGCCAGCCTCACCAATTTAGCAAGGCCCTAAGCAACTTAGCGAGACCCTGTCTCAAAGTAAAAAATAAAGATATGGGAATGTGTGACCCATTGATAAAGCACGTCTGGGTTCAGTCCCCAGTACCACACATGAACACACACACACACACACACACACACACACACACACAGAATGATACCTGCAACATATGCTGGAAGAGTTCTCGTCCATGGCCATGACGTTGCACTGACTCGTGAATGTAGAAGTCCAGGATGCAGAGTGGTTCTACCTCATTATGAGCCTCACGATCATCCTGCAAAGTAAAGAATAATAAATATCTTTTAAGATCCAGCCATCTTTGCTGCCCATGCAACCACCAGCACTTTTGTTCTCTGGAAACAAGGCATACAAATCCTCTGTTTCCAATAACACTCACCAGTACAAAGAGCTTCTTATATCCAACTTTGAGAAAACCAATAATGGCTCCTTTCCCAGCCCTGTAGGATGAGGAAAATAATGAACAAGCCAGCAGCTGTCTGGAAGTGGTAGAGTCAAAGAAGGGGGGAGGGTTGAGGCAGGAAGGAATTAAGTATAGAATGTAGGAGAATTTGACACTCACGGTCGGGCTGATGTGTCTTTGAGCACATAAATAACATGGCGATTACTCTGCATCCTTGATGCACTAGTAATAGGAGCAGGAAGATTCTGGGCCTGCCAAAAAAATGAAGACGCAGTTTCTACAAGTCCCTTTTAAGGGACCCAGGCCTCCCTTGTCACCATCCCCACTGAGGTCTACTCTTTATTCCATCAAAAGCCTCCCCAGTACCTTGGCAGATGCCTTGCCCAATTCATCTACAATGGTCATAATTTGCTGCTGCAGATCAACACTACAGAGAGAGAGGAGACAAAAGAGTCAGATACTCACTGAATTAGAGGGTCCTGAGCAGTCACTATTGGGAATCTGGACCACAATTCCAACCCAGATTCAATACTTAGGGATCTCTGCGTTTGCCTGGATGTCTTTCAATCTGGTTTCCAACCCAACCCCTCTGGAAACCAAACTTTTGTCACACCTTTCAAGGTGATACTCTCTCCTCCCTTCAGGTAACTAAGGGAAAGCAGGAAGGGCGGGTCTACCACAGCCTTTGACAGGGGCTACATTGGGCCAAGGGGTGAAAGTTCACAGATCCAAGCGCTAATCTAACCCATTAGGTTGCGAGTCAAAGGTCACCCAAAGGATGGGCCCGGACATCAAAAGGAGTGGCCACTAGTAAGTAAGAAGGGGGCGTGGTTCCTGGACCAGGTTTGGAGAGGAACCGGGAAAGAAGGGCCATAGGGCGGGTTTCAAATGTCACCGGGCCGGCGTTGTGGTTCCGGGTCGGCGGGCCGGAGGCCGCAGGTGCTGGTCCAGCACCGTGATCCGCTCCGGGAGCAGCGCGTCCACATCGAACGGGAACTCCATGGCCCATTGTGCGCGATCGGACCCGCCCCTTACAACGTCACTTCCGCCCCTTTACCGCACCGCCCTCAGGGTCTTCCATTTCCAGTAGCCGCTGGGTGGGGCCCGAACCCGTCCCTTGGCAGGGTCGGCCCAACCTCTCCCCAAGTCCTGGCAGCCTTCCTGGATACAGGCGTTTTTCACTTACACCAGCTGACCCCTTAGCAACGCCACTCCCCAACCCTTGCGGTGCCATAGTAACGGGTTAGTCCTTGGCTTAACTTGTCACTCTCAACCCCCCTTTATCCCCTTAGTAAACAGCTGGGAATGATGTTAACACCATGTGTGAGGAGAGGGGGGCACAAAGCCCATCCTAGCAGCATGGCTGGAATGCCTATCCCTGCCATTTCTGGTCCCAATGGAGCCAAGCTAAACTTGACCACTTCCCTTTCTACAGCAGCATCCCATTTCTTATAAAAAATAAAAGCCACTTGACCAACCTGCCCCCAATGGCATTCATCCCAAAGCAAGACAGAGACAGAGATAAAGCTTTATTGTGGAAAAACTGAGTTGGCAGAAGTTTGAAAACACAACAGTCGAGCCCATCTATAATATATAGGGGCTGGGGTTTCCCATTCAGTCTGTACTGCCCTTCCTCACCCTCAGATGGGTTTCTCCCCTTCAAAAACTCCTGGGTCTGCCACTGGTCACAAAACAGGGTAACATACCATCACATAATCCTAGGCACTAGCTTCTAATCTCTCAGGTTCCCTCCTCAGTTTGTAAATCCTATGGAATGTTATGGGGGCTGGTCTGCTCAGTGGAGGAGGCTTCAGTTGGTGGTTTCAGGGGCACCCCAGGCATTGATTCAGGTGGGGGGCCACTTTCTTCTAGGAGATTGCCCTGATAGAGCCGGCGAAGGCGGGACAGTTCTCTTTCTGGTGGCTGTTTCCAGGTGTACCATGGGTACCAAGGGTCACCTGAAACTAGGGTAGGAGCTGGTGGTGTAGAAGTCACAGCTCCATGAGATGTACTGAAGTCAAGGTCCCGGGGTTCAACCTGAGGAATGTGGTAACTGAGGAGACCTAACGGATTCAAAAAAAGAAAGAAAATTAGGGAGGAACTTGTTAGTCACTGGGTACATTTATACATGTTGTATATTGCACAAAATTAGCTGGCCAAGGTGGCAACTGAGGGATGACATACTGCCTGGGCATTTGACTGCAAAGCTATGCAGACTTCCCCACACCAGGATTATATAGCTGCATCCATTCTAGGGGAGGAGTACTTTGGGCAAAACACTATGTAGTCCATGACCAGAAATTTACACAAAGATCCTCCTATGAGGGTTGAGATTATAGCTCATGGGTAGAGTCCTTGCCTAATTTGTGCAAAGCCCTGAGTTCAATCCCCAGCATTGCAAAAACAAAGATCATCCTATGGTCTTGTTCTGGTAATAGGACCAGCAACTGAATAATAAGAGAGAAGGGAAAGGAAAGATGAAGGACAAGGGGACAGGGAAATGACAAGGTTAAGAGATTCAGCAGAGCTGACAAGGGATAAGAGTAAGGGATAAGACTCTCTTGAGAAGAACGTGTTGAATATTCCCTTCCTGGAGAGGCGGGAACACTTACAAGCACCCCCTAAGCCTAAATTACCTTCCCTCTGCCTAACAAAATTGCCTTGTCTCCCCCCTCCTTTTTTTTTTTTAATATTTATTTTTCAATTATAGTTGGACACAATACCTTTATTTTATTTATTTTTATGTGATGCTGCGGATTGAACCCAGGGTCCCACACATGCTAGGTGAGCTCTACTGCTGAGCCACAACCCCAGCCCTGCCTTGTTCCCCTTTTAACACTCACCGTGATCTCTGGCTTTCTGGATGGCCTGGGTCAACTTCTTATGCTGCTTCATACAGACTCCTATGAAAAGAAAAATAACCTGGTATTCATTCTATAAGACACAGTAACTAAAAGAACATATTGCTTCTATATGGTGATAGAGCGCTCTGGATTTGGAGGATATGGTTTTGCCTGATGACTCCACTCTCCTAATCCTTCTTTGGGCCTCAGTTTCCCCATATGCCTAATGGGAAGAATCCTACCCCTCTGAGAGCTGGGATAGTAAATTAAGATACCGAGACACCACAGGGAAGCCATTTAATGATAAAGGCTGCATGACACAGAACAGTACATAATTCAATGTATAACTGTGGTTAAAAGGTTGAGTTGGAAAATCCTCAGAGTCAATAGGCAAGAAGTGATTTCAGATCTGGGGAAGATCATTTGAGAGTGGCAATAATTGTCTCTTTAGCTTTCTACAGCAATAAAAAGCTCTGTGGAAAACTGAACACTGGTCATGGTGCCACCCCCCAATAATGGTGGGTTCAGATTATTCTTTGCAAATTTATCTTGCTTGAAAGCAGGAATTGGCAAATTTTTTTTGGGGGGGGGGGTATAGGACCACACAGTAAATATCTTAGGCTCTGCAAATCCTGTGGTCATCATCTCAGCTACTCAATTCTGCCACTGTTGCTAGGGAGCAAACAGGATTTCATACTGTAGATAATAGAAAATAAATGGACATGGTAGTGGGCCAGATCTGGTCTGTAACTGTAGTCAGAGAACAGATATAATCCTAAATTGTTAACCTTATAATTTTAAATCTGGAAAATCTAATTTGTCAATGGTATAAAAGAACTTACGTGACAGTCAAGTGGTGAGAAAAGTCTTCTGGGAAGAGACATTAGATAAAGGAAATAATCACCTTTTATTTATTTATTTAGGGAGTGGGGATTGAACCCAAGGGTGTTTTACCACTGAGCAACATCTCTTTTTTAATTTTCATTTTGAAACAGGGTCTCACTATATTGCTGAGGGTGTTGCTGAGATTAGCCTCAAACTTGAGTCTCTGAAATGGGAGGCATGTGACCCACACACATCACAAACATTTACTTTTTGTTTGGTACTGGGGATTGAACCCAGTGCGTCACACATGCTAAGCAAGTGCTCTACCACTGAACCATGACCCCAGCCCCCCCCCCCTTTTTTAACCTTTATTTTATTTATTTTTATGTGGTGTCCAGGATGGAACCCAGTGCCTCATGCATGCTAGGCAAGTGTTCTACCACTGAGCCACAACCCCAGCCCGGCCCCCAACAATTTTTAAGAACTACATTTATAAAGTCTGCTCACAGAGGTCCTAACCTGTATTTTGCCCACATGTAATTAATTGTTTTAGCACCTTATATTCACATTAAGCCAAGATTTCCAAAAGCATACTTTGTATGCCAGAAGTAATAGACATCAAACAAATACCTCATCTAACTGCATGAACAAGAAGTGTCCCAAGGAAAAACTATTCTGGTAGTTGTAGAGATGACAGGCTAACCTGTATATGGAGCATGGAAGATGATACCCGTGTGGGCACAGACAAACTGTTCCAAGAGCTTCACATTCTGTGGGGGAGAATGGTAGAAACAAATGAGAAGACGAGAGGGAAGACTAAAGAACATAATCCTTACACACCCATACCAATGCCCTCGACCCCTCTCTGTCTCTCTGGATGCTATCCTCTTCCATATCCCAGTTTTAGCCTCATCCATTCATTGGTCTTTCAACCGTTTCACATGCACATCCTATATTGTCACTGGGTTGATACAGAAGTCAAACTTCTATTTTTGACATTATTGTTTTGTTGTTATTACTATGGGATTATAGGCCACCATGCCTAGCTACAGGAGTTAACTGCTAAAGGTAGCCTTCAAGCAAAAACTTGGGGAGACTCACTGGAAGTCCCAGAAATCACCCAGAAAATGCTGCTGTAATAAGTATATACAAATGACTAAGAGATACAACAACAAACTAACTGAATATAACATACATACAAAGAACAATTTGTTTTTTTTTTTTTTTTAATTTTTTATTGTTGGCTGTTCAAAACATTACATAGTTCTTGATATATCATATTTCACAATTTGATTCAAGTGAACAATTTGTTTTTTTATTTAATTCTTTTTCTTTTAGTTGTAGATGGACACAATACTTTTAGTTTTTTTTTTTTTTCATGTGGTACTAAGGATTGAACCCAGTGCTTCACACATATTAGGCAAGTGCTCTACCACTGAGCCAAAACCCCAGCCCCAATTTATGTTTTAATTACACAGAATGACTCACAACTAGCAAATCAATTACAGGAAATTAGATTCTTAAGGAAAAATCAGGTAATCTGGGGAATGGCAGGTAGGCAGAACCGTCTATAATCTCAGTCTTGGTTATATAATTATTTATGCCTCTTTTTATAAACTATTGTATCTGATTGAAACTGGCAAGGTATTATGGGACTGCCCTATAACCTGTGTCATAAGGGTCATTAGAGTAACTGGACTCCCCCATTTGCTGACTGATACACAAATGCCCTCCAACTCCCCTGATAACCAGTCATACATCTTAGGCTCTAAGATCTTCATTACAAACTCAGAAAAGCATTTTCCTGTTATCATTCTTAAAATATTTTCTTTCTTTTTTTTTTTCCCTTAAAAATATTTTCAAATTCTTGAAAGAGCAAGTCCTGTCCTGCTCAGTGTTGAAGGCTTTCTGAATAAAAATAGTCTACTAGACTCTTCACATTTCTTCATATCTCTGTCTTCCAGCCCCAGGACTCAGAATGCCACTAAACATTGACATGACCACAAAATAAAGAAAACCACAGGAAAAAGGTAAGTGAATATAGTCATTAATAATTATAGTAGATATAAAGGAAGTTTGGGGCATGGTTCTCCTATTAGAAACAAGCCTTTCTATAAGGTGTGGTGCCCCACACACCTATAATCCCATCAAATCAGGAGGCTGAGGCAGGAGGACTGGAAGTTTGAGGTCAGCCTCAGCAATTTACCAAGGCCCTAAGCAACAAAGCAAGACCCTGTCACAAAATAAAAAGGGTAGGGGATGTGTTTCAATGGTTAAGTGCAACTGGATTCAATCCCTGATATAAAAATAAGTCTTAAAAAAGGTAATTTTTTCTTGCCTGCCAATTTATACTGTAAATTTCATGGACATGGAATAAACCTTCTTAGTCCAATTCATAATAGAGGTAAAAAACTGGAGAGGGATGATTTTATATTGCAAAAGTCACTGCAACATATACTGCAGGGGTGCCAGAATATGAAGAAGTGTGGTGTACCTATAGTAATCTCTTTAGCATTACAAAGAGAGTCCAAATATTCTCCTTACCCTAAAGTCGACATACAAATTGTGATCCCGGCAGATGGGACAAGGATTCCCAGCAATTTTATTCTTTCGCTGTAGAGAGAAGAAACTGGTAGTTGGAGGATGTTCACAGCCTTGTCAAAAAAAAAAAAAAAAAGGGCTGCTTCTACGGTCCCTATGGCCCCCACCCTCACACCACATCCCACCTAGGTACTGCCCTCAGAAACTCACAATGCAGGTCTTTCGAGTTTGCTGGGGTGGGATACCACCTTTGTGGTTGCGGCGGTAGTCAGCCCAGACTGGGCGATTACCATAGCGGTTCTGGTATTCTGAAATGAAAGAGAGGTCATTCCTAAGTGAGGGTGTAGGGGTGTCTCTATTTACTTCAGGCCCCACCTGACCCACTCTTTCCCCATTTAAGGATACCTTCTGAGTCCAGATATTTCCAGGGTTCATTCTCATAAGGGGAAATGGGAACTGAGGGCAATGAATCTTTTTCAGGGGGGGCACTGGTGCAAACAGTCTGGAGGGTAACCTATAAAGGGAGGGATGAAAAAATGAGTTCAAGAAAGACTCACCTGTTTTATCATACTTTGGGAAGAGGACAAATGCATGTTAATGTAATTTATAAGGAATATATATATGAAAGGAAATATTTTGTTGAGATTAAACTGACAAAAATCAACAATTACTCTCCCTATCTGGATCCTGAGAGGCTAATATAGGAGGAAACAATCTTATTCAAGAAAACAATTTTAGAATATGGCACATAAAAAGTCTCTGTGCTTATGGGAAATTAGTTGGGTCTAATGGGAGAAAAAAGGAGTATATTCAGTCTTTTGGAAGTTAGATGTGTGGTGGCAAGGGGATGCACAGGATAAGTTGAGTCTTCAACTCAATCTCACAGCAAGACAGAGTTCCCAGTTTTATAAAATGTTGAAGTTCAACATTCCATAGGGAAAAAACAAACTTGGAGTCCTAACGCCAGCTTTAAAGCTACCAGGCCTGCTATTAATTCAGTGGTGTCCTGTCAACATTCCTCAATCCCACTCTAGGGAGTGGCAGCGGGGTAAGCCTAGCTTCTCACCTTGTCCCACCAAGAAACTGCCCTGCCCTATCAAGAACCTCCAGGGTGGTAAGTACGTGAGGCTGAAGGGAAACCTCAATCCCAAGGACAGAACTAAGGTCGAATGCATGCTTTGATAAGAAACTAAATTATTAAGATAAAGAGCTGAGAATCTGGTCCCTATGTCGTGAGAATGTATCCTGGCTTTACTGGGAGATAGCCGGGCTGGTGGAAATTACGATCCCTCAATCAGAGGACACTCGAGAGCATCACAGATTTAGATACTACTTACGTAGTTAATACCTAATTGTACACGACCAAGGATCAATCCCACCACCTGGTTATATTGCTGAAGTATAGTATTTGGGAACAGAATGACAGCTGACTCGAGGTTTTAAGCCTGGATTCGGGCAATACCGGGCAAGGGGTGGAGTTGCCGGAATTGAAGTGTTGCCTACACAGCAGAGACATAAGAACGTGGGTCTCCCCTCGTGGATTCTCGGAAGTGCAGCTTCCACCTAGAGAAGGCATAACTAAATTGGGATTGTACATAATATCCTCTGAGGAGTTACCTGAACACCTCTGGCATTTCGGAAAGTGGAAAAGATAGGAAACCGCCTCCCAAGCGTGTTCAGTACGGCGGCCGCCATCTTGACGTACGCCCAACGTAGAATGCATGAGAAGGAAACTGCGCATGCTCCAGACAACCGACGCGGATAGGGCAAAGGGCGATCCCGCAGTGCGGAAGGCAACCGCGCGCGTTTGCGTCAGGACGGAAGCGTAAGAGGGGGGCTTGTTAGAGACGCTAATTTCAACTGCGTCACAATCGAATTAGGCTTCAAAAATATTTTTTTCCTGGACCAATCATTGAAACTATTAGATTCCATACTTAGACTTTGCCTTTTAAATAATTTTGAAGTCGATTTTGACCAGGATTCTTTCATTGCGCATGCGCACCTTCGTTTCTACCAACCCGGGGTGAGAAATGTTGTCCAAGGCGGAAGTGGTAGAAGCAGAGGAAAGGGTGGTGCTAGGCTCCCTGGTCACGCGTACAAGACTGGGGGACAGGAAGGAGGCGGAAGAGGGTACTAGAGGGAAGGGGCTGGCGTCGGCGAAGGAAGGATAGCCAATCAGCTGGCGAGTTGTCTTTCGGGTTGACCAATACGTTCACGCCTCGCGCACAATGTCTCGCGACAAGGGCGTTTCACTAGCACGTTTGGGCGCGTTGGGCGGCGTCCGGGTATAAAAGACTCCGCCCGAGCGGGCAGCCGCCATTCTGGGGTTCGTTTAGAGGTAAGTTTGTTTTTCTTGTCGTTTAGTGGGCAAAATTTTGCGGAGTACGGTGGAGTAGTTTATGGAAAAGGAGTGGGTTCGGTTGGGAACCACGGCCTATATGAAGCGGCTGTTTGGTATGGGGTGTGGAAGAATGTTTTGGGACGTCAAAAGTGCTACTTTGGAGTGTGTTAAAAGCGATCCGTACTGATTACATCTTTCTCCCTTGTGTTCCTTTTATCCCAGGTTTGAATTTTCTCGGAGAAAGACAGGCCTGCCACGAGGAAAACAGAAACAAGCCGCAGCTACATCTAAGTCCTTGAAAGGATCCTGAGAGGGGGGAAAGGGAAAACAGCAGCCACCAGCCCAACCACTTGTGTCTTCTGCCCCTACCCACCTATCGTGCCCACCCCACCAGCCCACGCTGCTTGGGACTTGAAATCTGTGGCCGAAGGACCGTCACCACATAACTTGAAAAATAATCAACCACCTTCCCTTCCCAAACCCACCCAATTTCACTCATCCAGCGTTTCCTTTTTTGATTTCCACTCAGAATTTTTTTCTACGACCCCCCTCCCTAAATGGAGTTGGGTGGGGGGGGAGTGAATACTGAGTTGGCCTTTATTTTTTAAGAGACTTTTTGATCCAATGAGGCCCCCCAAATAATTTGAGTTTTGGGTCCTGGTTGGTTGTTTTATTTTTTTTCTCCAAAATTTTACCCCCTCCCCCCTGAGCCCGAGGTGCTGACGTCGCAAAAAAATTGGATAGTAAGTGTCGAATTTTCAAAAACCAGCCTTGCAACAAGAAATCAACGTTTCCCGTTGTGAAACCAAAAATAATGAGAGGAAGAAATGAGACCATAGAACAAATAGAGAGCTGGAGATGGACCGATCTGGTCATTTAATCTCCATTAAAAAGGGCCTTTGGGTCTGAAACAGTCTTGTTCTCTCTCCCCTACCACCTACCTCTTCCTGCCCTGCTGCAGGCAAGGAGAGGGTGGAGGGAGGGCCAGCAAGTGAGGATTTTGATGGTTAACCCTTGATAATCCAGTCAATTTCCAGACTGCCAAAGCATGTGTTTGCTTTTTATAAGGAGGAATGTTTACCTTCCTCTAGTTAGCAGTCTTCAAAAGGGTTAATGAGCTCACATACAAAAGATGGTGGATCTTGTGGCCCAAAAGTCCCACTTCTTTGTGTGTGAGACAAGCAGGGCGCCTTTCAATTTGCCAGATTAATAAGCAATCTGTACATAAAGATTGCAGGGTAAGGAGATGGGCAGAGAGAAATAACAGCTGGCTATGACTTAAAATGATTGTTAAATCCTCTCAATTTTAATGTAATTTGCTTGGGGTATATTGTATGGTTAAGATAGGTGGCAATCTATGAATAAAGATTGCAAGACACTTAATTCAGGGCAAAATATAATCTTAGTACCAGTACATACAATAATACTTGGGGAGGTAAATGTCTTGTAATTGTTGCAGCTTGCATAGGTTATTTAAAAGCAAAAAAGTGATTAACATTTTAACTTGATACTTTTTGGTGGGGGGGGGGATACAGTTAAAATAGAGGGTGGAAAGGTGGGGAAATGTGGAATTCAGGAGTATAATTTTAAGAGCCATTTAGTGCAATTGAATGCTAGCTTTCTAAAAGATTTGTGTCGTTAAAAGGAATTTTTTTTCTTCCCTGCTTCAATATGGCGACTTTCCTTGTCCTTTTGTCTTCCAAGCGGCGTTGCAGGTTGTGTCTTGACCCATTTTTCTCCTGTCCTCCCACCTCAACCCTATTTGTTGAGAGGGGTCCAAGTCCTCCCCCTTTTCCTTTATTAGGGAGGATGGGGTGGCCGGTGGTAGCAGATTCATTTCTTCCTTGCAGAAAATTGTTCTTTTAAATAATTTAATTGCTTTTATTTTCACTATTCTCTTACTGATTGAAAATAGGTCAGAGATTATTCAGGATTGGGGGTTGGCTTCTGTTATTTTTTACTTAAGAGTGTATTATAATGTAATAGCTACCGGCAGAGCTGGAATGAATTTAATTTTGAATCCTCTTCTCCATTACAAAATGGCGTCCCTCCTTTGTTGTTTTTCTTCTCCTTTTGCCATCCAGAGCTTAGGGCCGCCCTAGAAACTTGTTCTAGTGGGAGGAGCAGCATTGAAAGGTGATGTAATCAGCTTGCTTCCTCCTCTCTCCACCCTCTCAAAACTCCACCCCTGAGCAGATTCCTTCTGGACTCCTGTGCACATTGCTGCTAGGGAGATACATTTTCTTGTTTAGATAAAATCTTTTGATAAAAGCTTATAGGAATTAGATATTGAGGCTGTCCATCTCCTTGGGTAGCTCTAGTTGATATTTTTAACAACCAACCCTTTGCTTTTTATTTTCACTTTTTCCTCCATTCATCACAACTACTTGGAAGCTTACCCCACTTCAGTTTCCAGGAGTGGAAAAACAGTCAAACCTCAGCTGCACTTTAAGAAGACTAGGAGGCTTTTGGGGTTGTGTGTGTGAGCTTGTGTGTTTGTATATATGTGTGGGATTGGGGACAAAAAACAAAGGGCTTGTAACTCGAGTAGACAATTGGGGCCTAATGACATTTTTGCTCAGTAATCAGTCCTTGGGCCTCTTTTGGATGCTCTGTAATGAGAATCTGGGCGGGGGTGGGGGGGGAGGGTGAGTACTTTCAGGACTTTTCTTCTAAATCACCCTTATTCCCACCTCTCAGTTCGGGGATAAACTCTTTGTATTCAGTGCTGTGTCACGTTCTCCAGTTGCTTAGTTCCTGTACATTGGTGCTAGGATGAGAAGTGAATCTTTAGGAAAGGAGGCGGCAGTTGTAAACTCAAGGCAGGGGGAATCAAGCTACGGTTTCTGGTAAGCAAAACATTTCTGGTATTACATTTCACAACCTTCATTTCTTTTTTCCAAAGAACCACCTTTTTGAATTTCTTTTTCCTTCCCTTCTAAAAAGAAATTCCTTAGAAGCATTAATGAAAAAATAATGTCCTCTTCATTTTTTTTTTAACTTGTGCAGTTGCTGTTGCAATGGTGCATGTTGAAAGCCATGCCCTACCTGAGACTGATATTGGGTGTCCAGTTCTTTTCTTATCTCTTCCCAACTTTTTCAGTCAAATCTTCAGCAGACTATCCATATACCTTTCATTTTTTTTTTTTTAAGTCCTGTAATGAAACGTAGGGGTTCTAGGCAGAATTGAAAACCCACTTTATACAATATACAATTGTCCTGGGAAACTTAAGGCTAATTTTTGCTGGGTTCGGGTTCTCAACTTAAATTTAATTTCTGGTTTGGATGGGAGGGACTCTTCCATGTGTCTATTGACCACAGTCTTTTTTTTTTTTTTTTTTTAAAGCAGTTTGCCATGTACTTCTGCAGCATACCTACTTGGGAGCTGAACATTACACCCATTGGGGTTCCTGATCTCTAGTGAGCAGGGGATTAATAAAGAAGATCTTCCTTAACATGGGAGATGGGAAGCAAGGCCTACTAGGGAAATCAGATCTATCCAGAGAACTTTGGAGAACCTGATCCTTGTAGTTGGCCAGAATTCTATTCTGGAATCCTTTCCTGTGGGTGGAAATGGTGTATGTGATTTTGCACATCTTTATTGAGAAGCAAATAAGCTCATACCAGGTTTTCAAAATGACTGAGAGCTAGGGGCCTATCACTTAGAAGAAAGGAACTCGTGAATCACCTGAGGGACATAATTCAGTCCACTGATGTCCATTAGGAAATGCCTAAACAACAAAGAAAAGGAACAGCATTTTCATTTCTAAAAGTGCTAAGGCCATAATGTAAATGTGGGACTCTTCTTACTAAAAAATGATAGTGCTCTGGCTTGCATAGAATTTTTTCCCAAAACAATTCAGTACTGTTTTGTTGGTGATGGGTGTGGAATAACTTTAGCCAAAATGGATTTTTTTTTTCACCTTAATCATAATAACCCTGAAGTAAGATTCATTTTGGAGGCAGGTGCATGAATTTTATCTCTGATAAGTAGAAAATTCCCTAGTGCTTTGCATCAGTAGTACATGCCTCTGCCTGAAACATCCTCCATAAAGAAAGCCTAACTTAGGACAAGGTAAAGTGAGGCCAGAGGGTTGCTTCCTGCACCTAACCACTCTTAATGTACCTGTTACCTTCAAGGAATTTAGCAGCTCATTAAAAACATGACTTATCTGGATTATTCCTGGCTCCAGAAACAGACCCAGGCCCAAATCTGGAGTGACATATTTTCAAGCTGTATTCCAGGCCCAGATCTGGAATGACTTGGTCATTGCTCCTGCCTTCCTCAAGTCATCTTCTGGACTGGAAGACTGTCAGAAATATTGGGCTTTTCATATTTTCCAGAATGTGCTGACTTCAAAGTAGGGGAACTAGATTTTAAGACACTTTGGAATCCTTAATTTTGAGTAAAAACTACTTGAGAAAAAATCACCATGAGAAAATCCACTTAACATTTTATCACATGATTGATGTTCATGAGACAAAATTCAAAATTTTAGTTATTTTTCCAAAATACAATAGTGGGAAATGGATATTCTAACATTCTGTCTTGTCTCCTAGCTTCCTTCACTGTTAAATCTTTTATTCTTTTCTATACAAATGGGAATTTAAAGTATCTGGGTCCCATTTCCAGCAGAGGGCACTGAACACAGTTTAGCTTTATACTCATTGGTCCATTTTTCTTTCTATGAATGAATATTAATATTCTCTCTTCCTGTTAATTGAAGGAACATTTGATTTCAGGTGACTTTTTTTTTTTTTTTTTTTAAAGTTCCTGAACAAAGTAGGGGTAGCAAGCCTATTGGCTTAGCTTTGTAGTTGGATATACAAAGAGGAGTTCTCCAAGGTTTATGTATACTCAGCTCTGGCTTTGAATTGGTGGAGTCAGCTGTGTTCAGGGGGCACTGGTTTGAAGTGATGTTTAATTCAAGACTTTATCAAATTGAACATATTTTGGTTTGGGATTTAATGGTAGGTGTTCATGTATGTATGTATAGATAATATTTTAAGAATTTCTTAGTCTCTTGCATATGATATTAGTCTGAGCCCATTCATAGCTTTTCCAGTCCCCAACAGATGGGAAATTTATTTTTATATATTCCTTTATTGTATTCCTTTCTTGTATCTATTCATCTCTAATTTATTATCATATAATCTTATTACATGGAAAAAATTTCCTTCTCTCTTTGTGTAAGAATTACCATGTAGTTAGCCCACAAACTTCTACTAATCTTCCAAAATTCTACTTGAATCTTTTTTTTTTTTTCCTCTTCTCTGATCTCAGGTTTCACTTGTTCTTGTGGAGGTTCCAGGGCAGCAGCTTCAGCACATTTAACCTAGTTTTGCCCATTTAACATTTCTTAACAATTTGTTCTTTCCCTGTGTTCAGTCCACAGGTCATGATCTCCAGAACCAAGATTGTACTACTACCCTTTCCTTTCTGGGCTGCTGCCTCACTGCTGCTGTGGCTGCTGCTTTCCTAGGTTGTTAGGACTTACACATTTAGAAATTGACTGACCATTTTCTGGGGGAAAACTAAAAGATTGTTGTGCTGCTTTTTCATTGTTTGAGAACAAACAGAACTAATTTGCATTATCTTACAAGAAACCTGTTCCCTTTACTGCACAAACTATAGTCATCTTTGTAAAATAATTTATTTCTTTTCACTCTTCCACGGTGTTGCCTGTTAACCCTGCTAGATGCTGGATGCAGAAAGTCATCTTTTCCCCTTCCTACCAGAATCGAGTGTTTGTAGAGGTAGTATGATAAAACTACCAGTCAAAACCATATGGATTTTAAATTATGTCTGTGGAACTTTGGTTCTGCCTAGAAATTGCTTCACACTTCTGTCCCTTCCATAATAAGTATTTAGTTTTTATCTAACTCTTCCAACCTGGTCTAAAGTAGCTGCTTAAAATTTAATAGCATTATTCCAGCCTTTAGCTTTGTTGCAGTCCTAATAGTTCCATGATTTTTAGTTTTTTTAGGTTAGGCCTTTCTTGAATATCCTGGACAATGTTGTGGTTTTTGAAAGTAGAGGGTCAGATTTGCATCTTTGCTTTTATAAGCCATATTTTTCTTGGAAACAATAAAAACCTGTGTAGGTGTTTGGTCAATGTGTGACATTATTCAAGGTTTAGGAAGACCTGCTTGACATCCTATGCATCAATTTGTGAACATTTCTGGGAGCTACTGTCACATTTTCTGGGGAATGGATTCTCTTTCCATGTTTTATTTCTCTGTCACCTGTACTTCAGGTGACACATATCCTGCCACTTGTGGTGATTATGACTCTTAAAGGGTTGAGATAGAAAGGAATTGACTCTTACAAGACATTTACCCCAAACACCTGAGATTGACCCAGTTCAAGCTTTGGAGTTCTTTCAGGCCAATTTTGTCATTAAGGGAGGTATCCTAACAGCAAAAAATAAAAGCCTTGTGAAGTTAAGCATCTTGTTACAGGAATTGGAGTCTTACCTCTAATCAAGTGAAATCCAGCTGTGTTAGCAAGGATGTAACAATGAAAGACAGGTGGGCGACCCAGCCCTCCATTTTAATTGCCTTCTGATTCAATCATGTATTAATCCCATGCTTAACTTGACAAGAGTTTTCTCAGTGACCATTAAGTAATTAGTGTATCTTGTCAAATACAATGATGGCATATTGGAACTGTCCTTGCCACCCATTTATTCTGTGGGTTTGTTTTTTCCTCTAGAAACCATAATCATGGGTTCAGGTCCCATAGACCCCAAAGAGCTTCTTAAGGGCCTGGATAGCTTCCTGAATCGAGATGGGGAAGTCAAGAGTGTGGATGGGATTTCCAAAATCTTCAGGTGAGTCTGTGTCCTTTGGATTAATTATGAGTAGAGGATACTGTGCATTGTATTATGGCTACAGTTGAGGCAGTAGAACTGAATGTCCTAGAGAAGACAGGAGAATAAGTGAAAAAAGATTCAAATCCAGTGATTTTAGGATAAGGGATTAGAAAAGATGATTCCTTTGTTTCTGGCCATAATGGCCCCCCAAGATTTGGACATCCATAGATCCAGAGGAGACATGGCTTTAGGAGAGCAGGGGAGCCTGGTGATAGAATTCTTGATTGATTTGGGACATTTTTCACTCACCCTAAATATCATTTTCTTTGAGATTTTCATGTTTTCTTGGGAAAAGCATATAACAAACCATTTTGGACAGACACAAAGGGATGGTTGTTGAGGGCTGGACTTTTCACCTAGAAGCAGAATCAGATATATACTGTGTGTTAGGGAAGGAATGATGTCCCCCTCCCCAGATCAGAGAATTCAGTGCCTCCTGAATTATCTTCCATCCTCATCCTTTCATGGGTTTCCATGTCACCCTGGATTCACCCAATCCTCCTAGAGGCCTGTATGACTCTCCACCTCTGGAGCAAGACTCAGTTATCACAAGTATTTAGGCACTCTACTGGCTAGATTCTTTGCTAGACCTTGCTACCTTTCTAACTCTTAAATCATTTCCTACAGCCTGATGAAAGAAGCACGGAAGATGGTGAGTCGATGCACTTATTTGAACATTCTCCTGCAGACCCGTTCATCAGAAATACTGGTCAAGTAAGTGGGAATCTGGGTGGCTGGCCTGGGAAGAAGTAGTTAGAAGATAGGGGAGGTGAGGCATGTGGTTCTTGGGGTCATTGATGGTGGACCAGGACTGTGGGATGTGGTAGTTCCAAAACCCAGGAAGTACTTATATTCTATTCCTATCTGCCTGCAGGTTTATTGATGTTGGTGGCTACAAGCTTCTTAACAATTGGCTGACATATTCAAAGACAACCAACAACATTCCCCTCCTCCAGCAAATTCTGCTGACCCTGCAGCACCTACCACTCACTGTGGACCACCTGAAGCAGGTACCTTTGGTCTTAACCCTGGTTCTTTTTTTTGGGTTACCCTGACAGGTGAAAAACTCATACCAACTCTAATTTGGCTGTTGGTTGGGGCCTGTGAGATAGAAAAAAATAGTTCAGAATTGGAAGACTTGGTTTGAATTGATCTCCTTTGATAGGTGTGTAGCTTGGGATACTTTAAACCTCAGTTTATCTGTCTATAAAATGGGAATAATCATACCTACCTCACTTGGTTGTCCTGGATTAAGAAAGAATATGTCCATAAAGCTTTTGTAAAAGGTACAAAGTCTGTATTAGTCGCTGTTAAGGGACTATGGAGGGATTATAAGTTTGTAGGGGTGTTAGCTCTAAGTGAACTTATTTCCCTTCTTGCATTTACCTTTTTGCTATTCCCATATCTTGTAGAATAACACCGCCAAACTGGTGAAGCAGTTAAGCAAGTCAAGTGAGGATGAAGGTAGGGTGCTTGTCATGGACTTTGTTCCATTATTTCCATATGATTATCTTCATCTCTCTCCCTATCTTTAGATTGTCTTTCACTCCTGCCTACTTTCTACTTTAGTTTGCTATTTCCTTCAAGAATTTAATTTCTCAGCAGGAGCAGTGGCACACAGCTATAATCCCAACAACTCAGGAGGCAGTAGGATTTCAAGTTTGAGGCTAACCTCAGCAACTTAGTGGACCCTGTCTCATGATAAAAATTTTTTAAAAAGAACTGAGAATGTAGCTCAGTGATAAAGGGCCCCTGGGTTCAATCCTCAGTCCAAAAAAAAAAAAAAGAAGAAGAAGATTTATTTAAATATTCTAACTTAACTTGCTCCCTCTTCGTTATCTTCAATTCCAAATGAAAATATCCATTTCCTTACTATTGGATATGAGATAAGATGCCACACTTCAACTTATAGCTGATTCTTTCACTTGGTAGAAAATTTATACACTTAAAATTCTTGGGGGAAGCAGAGTGAGATGATGGCACATTCTTATAATTCCAGCTACTCCAGAGAAAGGAGGATTATACATTTGAGACAAGCTTGGAAAACCTAGTGAGACCCTGTCTCAAAGTAAATAAGGGCTGAAGGTGTAGCTTGGCAATAGAGCATTTGCCTAGCATGCATGAGGCTTTGGGTTCAATCCCTAATATAGGGAAAAAGAAAAATTCTTGGAGGAAGTATTGTCATTCTAGAGTGAATTGTACACATTTACTCATGTAAATAAATATAGCGTATACTGGGACCTTCAACATCTGTTTTCCTAACAATAGATAGACTAGTTCTGATAAAAATATATTCCTAAAGAATGTGAGCAAAATCTTGACTCTTATAATATATCATGGTTCTAATAATGACAGATTCTTTCCTTTTTCAGAGTTCATGGCAAGGACTGTATAGTTTAGGCTTGAAGACAAAGCTTGACTCCAGAAAGTCACTCCCTTTCAAGATCTCTGTTTCTGTTATCTACCCAGGCCCCAAATCAGTAGTTTCCCACCAGCTGAGCAATATTTTATTAGAGCAGTAATCAGTTCTTGTACTTATTCTTGTAAAAATCCAGGATTGCTCTTTGTCTGTAGGAAATTGTTTGCTAGGTCCTCTGGTAAGAGGTTTTGGCCTCTTGGATGTCAAGGGAGTATGTACGCCTGTTTCAAGTTCTTAGTTATAGAAAAAAAAGCTCTGTGAACACCTCTCCAAAGTCCTAGTTTGCTGTTTTCTTTTTTTTTAATTTAAAAAATTTTTTTAGATGTTGATGGATCTTTATTTAATTCATTTTTATTTTTATTCATTTCATATTTTATTCATATGCGGTGCTGAGAATTGAACCTAGTGCCTCACATATACTAGGCAAGCACTCTGCTACTGAGCCACAACCCCAGCTTCCCCCTCCTCCAGTTTGCTTTTAAATCGCATTATGGTGTAAGTGAAGAAGTATTCCCTAGTTTTCCATCCCCTCACTCCCCATGGTGGAGATCAAACCTAGGTCCTTGTACCTGATAGGCAAGTGCTATACCACCATCAAGCCACATCCCTAGCCTGAGTTGTTTTTTTTTTTTTTTAAAGCCATTATCATTAACATCATTCTAGGAGGGGCTGGAACTGTGGCTCAGTGGTAGAGTGCTCGCCTAGCACGTGCGAGGCCCTGGGTTCAATCCTCAGCACCACATAAAAATAAAATAAAGATATTATGTCCAACTACAACTTAAAAAAAAAAAAAAATTGTTCTAGGAAAAAAGCTTGCTCTAGAAAATCTTTTAGAAGTTTGGTTTTTGGGACATCTCATGTTCTTAAAAGTCTGGATTACTTTTTCTATTGCACATATTTTCCCAGTAGTTTTTCAAACATAGCATTTTTCTGTTAACCAGGAAAACTACTGAATTATTACTAAATTATTTACATTACTCACCTACAGAGCTCCAAAAATTGGCCTCAGTCCTTGTCAGCGACTGGATGGCTGTCATCCGCTCCCAGAGCAGTACCCAACCAGCTGGTAAGTGCTTAGTCTTTTATTCCTTTTTTTTAATTTCATTCCCACTAGGATGTGGCCTTCGGGTGTCCCTTGTCAGTTCCACTTCTGACAGTCTTTTCTTAATCCAAATGAAATCCTTTTCTACTTTTTTTTTTTTTATCCATGACAGAGAAAGATAAGAAAAAACGTAAAGAAGAGAGCAAGAGTCGAGCCACTCCTCCTGAACGACCTTTGACTGAGGTGAAGGCTGAGACACGGGCTGAAGAGGCCCCAGAGAAGAAGAAGGAGAAACCCAAATCTCTGCGAACCACAGCACCAAGTCATGCCAAGTTCCGTTCCACTGGTAAGATGTTGACTGGCCTCACAGGGAGGGCCTGGGGGCATGTGCACAGCTGTCACCTCATGGAATACTTCCATTTGTAATATGAAAGAGGGAAGTCTACTGGAGAATCTGGGAGGCACTTGAGAGAAGATTGTTGAGAAGAAGGGTAGGACAATTGGTTAGTGTTAGGAGATGGGTTGAACTGACAACAACACTTATCTCCCCAAGGACTAGAGCTGGAGACACCATCTTTGGTACCTGTGAAGAAGAACGCCAGCACCGTGGTAGTTTCCGACAAGTACAACCTCAAACCCATACCCCTCAAGCGCCAGAGGTATGGACCCTGTTGCAGGTTTCTAAATAGTTGGGTCTGTGGACACACAGTGGAAAGAAGGGGTGAATCAAATGTTATTGATTACTCCTCTTCCCATAGCGCCACGACTGCTCCAGGAGATGCTGCCCCTCCTGCAGAGAAGAAGTATAAGCCCCTCAACACAACACCCAATGCCACCAAAGAGATCAAAGTGAAGATCATTCCTCCACAGCGTGAGTCTGAAACAGGGAATGCACTGGGAATTAGGAGTATGCTCTTTTCTTGGGAATGAATGTCCTAGGAGGGAAAGGTTTTTTGTTTTTTCCCTCTTTATTGTTTTGTTTTACTTGCCTTTGATTTCTTAGTGTCCTTTAATGTTTGCACCTCTGGGACTTTGTTTTCTTAGTGTTATTTAGGAGTAATGTTAGAGATAAGGTAGGGATGCTCCCATTCAGTGACTGGTCACAGGCATGACTTTGTTGTAGGATGATCTTACATGTTCACAGGAATTTATTTCATGGTTTCCTGTGCTCTAATTCCTGCACAAAGCGATGCCTTACCTTCCAAAAGAAAGATGAAATAACCTCAGGAATTTTTTGTGTGAACCCTCTTGCCATGTGTTCCTCGGTCACCTTGAACTTTTGTGACCTAAGTGTACACAAAGTCTCCATCAGCCCATCTTCATCTTAAACTTTGAATAGGACTGTGAAGGATGATTCCATTCTATGCTCTTTTGTTTTATAGCTATGGAGGGCCTGGGATTTCTGGATGCTCTCAATTCTGCGCCTGTTCCAGGCATCAAAATTAAAAAGAAGAAGAAGGTGCTGTCACCTACTGCTGCCAAGGTATGGGCACTAAGAAGTGAGTTTCTGTGACAGAGTACACAAGATCCAGAGGAAGAAAGGGCACAGCATCAAGGAGCTGTTGGGGGAGGATTGGGAGTAGGACTGTAGAAGCCAGAAGGTTCCTTTATAGCAACTGTTGGGCATCTTACTCAGGTCCTGGACTAATTGCTTTGCCTTCAACTTGGCTTCCTGTCAGTTCATTAACTTTTTTTTTTCTTTCATAATAGCCCAGCCCCTTTGAAGGGAAAACAAGCACAGAACCAAGTGCAGCCAAACCTTCTTCCCCAGAACCAGCGCCCCCTGCTGAGACAATGGACATAGACCGCCCAGGCACCCCAGTGCCACCTGTTGAAGTCCCCGAGCTTATGGATACAGGTAATCTGGAAACTGATTTGGGCTTGAGGGGTTTCTTTCTTTCTTTCTTTCTTTTTTTTTTTTTTAGTTGTTCATAGACCTTTATTTATTTATTTATATGTGGTGCTGAGAATTGAACCCAGTGCCTCGCATGTGTGAGGCATGTGAGCCACTGAGTCACAACCCCAGCACCTTGAGGGTTTTCTGAAAGGAAAGATTTGAATCTGAAACCTCTCCTGCTTCCAGCCTCTTTGGAGCCAGGAGCTCTGGATGCAAAGCCAGTAGAAAGCCCTGGAGATCCTAGCCAGCTGACCCGGAAGGGAAGGAAAAGGAAAACTGTGACATGGCCTGAGGAGGGCAAACTGAGAGAATATTTCTATTTTGAACTGGATGAAACTGAACGAGGTAAGACCCCAAGTTTCCTGTGTAATAGATGTGTATAGGAAATTTTTCAAGGACTCAGTTGTGTTTACTTTTCTCCTCTTTTTTCTCTTGTCAATAGTAAATGTAAACAAAATCAAGGACTTTGGTGAGGCAGCTAAAAGAGAGATACTGTCAGACCGACATGCATTTGAGACGGCCCGCCGTCTAAGCCATGACAACATGGAAGAGAAGGTGCCCTGGGTGTGCCCTAGGCCCCTGGTTCTGCCCTCACCTCTTGTCACCCCTGGAAGCAACAGCCAAGAGCGATACATCCAGGCTGAGCGGGAGAAAGGGATCCTTCAGGAGCTCTTCCTGAACAAGGAGAGGTGAGCAGAGAGGTTTAGGTCCTGGGATGTGGAGTGCTTGCACTGCTAAAGGGACTATGACCTTGGAAATTAAGAAGTGGGTAGAGCTGGGTGCAGTGATACACACCTGTAATCCCAGTGGCTCAAGAGGCTTAGGCAGGAGGATTTGAGTTCACAGACAGCCTCAGCAACTTAGTGAGGCCCTATCTCTAAACAGAAAACACAAAAGGACTGGGGATGTGGCTCAGTGGTTAAGCGTCCCTGGGTTCAATCCCTGAGCCCCAAAAAAAGGTGGGGGGCGGGTTATAAGCTAGAAAGAACTTCAAAAACCTAAATAAATATCGTTCTTTTTTTCTCTTCCATTGCCTGCGGTATTCCTGATAGTCCTCATGAGCCTGATCCTGAGCCCTATGAGCCCATACCTCCTAAACTCATCCCACTAGATGAGGTAAGTGCCAGTGGTACATGATGATAGTGGGTGACAACAAAGGTTGTGATGGTCATTGATTTCCATGTAAGATATCTCTGCATTCCTTCTCATCAGTGATGATTTTTTTGCCTCTCCTCTTGTTAGGAATGTTCCATGGATGAGACCCCATATGTTGAAACCCTGGAGCCCGGGGGGTCAGGTGGCTCACCTGATGGGGCCGGAGGCTCCAAGCTACCTCCTGTTCTAGCCAATCTTATGGGAAGCATGGGTGCTGGGAAGAGTCCCCAGGGGCCTGGAGGAGGAGGCATCAATGTCCAGGAGATCCTTACCTCCATCATGGTATGAGCCCTCTTCCTTTTTAAATTCCTATGGAACCTCCTAAGTCTTTTTTTCTGATTCTCTCATTCTCTTTACCCAAGGTCTTCCAGTCTTTCCCCTTTACCTCCTAAATATTAGCTCTTTTTCTACCAGTGGTTACCCTTGTATTTTATTGACTTTTCCCTCTTGCCTTCTTAATCCTCACAGGGCAGCCCAAACAGTCATCCTTCAGAGGAATTACTGAAACAGCCAGACTATTCAGACAAGATCAAGCAGATGTTGGGTAATCTTCAGGGCAAGCCCCAGGGGTCTGGGGGAGGAAGCCGACTGTGGAGTTGGGGGAAGCAGAGTTTCACAGACACGGAAAGCACAGGGCTATTGCCACTAGGCAAGAAATGGGAGGGGAAGACTGGACGGAGAGTGTTACTCTGCCAGGTTGGTCTAAGAGGGTCAGATGGGCACACCTACATGGGAAGCCATACCATTCTTGTAGAATCTTCTTGCTGACTATTTTCCGTTTTTTTTTTTTTTTTAATTAACAGTGCCACACGGACTTCTAGGTCCTGGTCCAATAGCCAATGGTTTCCCACCAGGAGGCCCTGGGGGTCCCAAAGGCATGCAGCACTTCCCCCCTGGGCCTGGGGGACCTATGCCAGGTAGGTGGTGAGTGAGGGGTTGAAGTGGGCTTATCTGCTTAATTGCACCCTGGTTAACAGTAGAGGAGTAACTAGAAGGTGAGAGGTAGTTTAGATTGGGAGATTACAGTTCCTAACTGACAGTTAGCTGATATTCTGTCCCTTCTTTTTCTTCCTTAACAGGTCCCCATGGAGGCCCTGGTGGACCAGTGGGTCCACGTCTTCTGGGTCCCCCACCCCCTCCCAGGGGTGGTGATCCCTTCTGGGATGGTCCAGGTGACCCCATGCGGGGTGGCCCAATGCGAGGGGGTCCAGGACCAGGTCCTGGACCATATCATAGAGGCCGAGGTGGCCGAGGAGGAAATGAGCCACCACCACCACCACTTCCGTTCCGAGGGGCCAGAGGAGGTCGCTCTGGAGGAGGACCTCCAAATGGACGAGGGGGCCCGGGTGGGGGTATGGTTGGAGGTGGTGGGCATCGTCCTCATGAAGGCCCTGGTGGGAGCATGGGCAGCAGCAGTGGACATCGTCCCCATGAAGGCCCTGGCAGTGGCATGGGTGGTGGCAGTGGACATCGTCCTCATGAAGGCCCTGGTGGAGGAATGGGCAGTAGTCATCGTCCCCATGAAGGCCCTGGTGGAGGAATGGGCAGTGGACATCGTCCTCATGAAGGCCCTGGCGGTGGCATGGGTGGTGGCAGTGGACATCGCCCCCATGAAGGCCCTGGAGGAGGAATGGGTGCCAGTGGTGGACATCGCCCGCATGAAGGCCCTGGTGGGAGCATGGGTGGAAGTGGTGGACATCGTCCCCATGAAGGCCCTGGACACGGGGGACCCCATGGCCACCGGCCACATGATGTTCCTGGTCACCGAGGCCATGACCATCGAGGGCCACCTCCTCATGAGCACCGTGGCCATGATGGCCCTGGCCATGGGGGAGGAGGCCACCGAGGGCACGATGGAGGCCACAGTCATGGAGGAGGTAAGGATTACACTCTGCTGTCCACGTGGGTTTTGGTGTTCCATACATGTTTGTGGTGGTTAGGGGAGAGGCAGAACACATGAGGTTTCCCTGTCTCTGGCTCCCAGTATGCATGGCAGTTTCTACCCTCTGCCTTTTCCCCCAAATGCTTAAGATATAGTGGTCTCTTTGAGATTATCCTTAGAATGTTGTGAACTGGGGCAGTGAGGGTGGCATTGACCTCTTAGGCATTTCCTATCTGACCATTTTGCCATCATTTTCCTACAGATATGTCAAACCGACCTGTCTGTCGACATTTCATGATGAAGGGCAACTGCCGCTATGAGAACAACTGTGCCTTCTATCACCCGGGTGTCAATGGGCCCCCCCTGCCCTAGGGACCACCTGCCTACCCTACCCACATGCCCCCCTGTGGACTGCAGCCTTGCTCCTTCCACCCTGTTATGGCTTCTGTGAGGCCCAATTTCCCCCTTCCCCAGCTGATGAGGAGCCGGCCCCCTCAGTTCCCACCTGCTTGGGTTCTTGGGGGTTTTCTGATCACTGGTGCGCATTGATGTACATATTTTCCTCCAGTCTGGGAGGAGAGAGACTGGACACATTCTGTAACCTGGACTGCTGAAGAGGAGACCCAGTTGGCTTCATTTTATGAGGAGATTTGCCCTGTGTCCCAAACCCCTTTCCAGTATTACCCCTAATGCCTGAGAACCTAAAGCTGGTTATCCTGGAGAACACCTCTACTCTCCTATTGTGGGTCCTCCACATGCACACAGAACTCAGACATGGGATCCACTGCACTTAGGAAATCATCCCAGCCAAGTTCATTATTCCTCATGGGGTGGGGTGATGGTAGGGGTATTATGTATCCCACTGCACTGAGAGGGCTCAATCAAGCTGGATTTGAGTTCTGGAATATACCATCCCCGCTCCTGTTCCAACTTGGGCTTTAGAGTTCTGTCTCAAGACACAACTTTTTGTTTCTACACCCAAGTTTACATCATGTGTCTGCTAGGTTCGATGATGGCAACTTCATATCTGCATCCATCCAGTGAAAGTTTTATCTGGCAGAGGTGTGGCTGGTGATGTCGGTCTGCCTCTGCCAACCTGCTGTTCTGGAGACTTCATAAAACACTTCAGTGAGACCAGCTTTTCATCAACTTAAGCCCACTATGCTGGGCCTGACAGTCACACTACATGCACTGCCTTTGGGAGTTTGCTTGCTCCTTACCCCACTTGGAACCTTGTCAGTGTGAGGCTTCCAAAAATCTTGCCCTGTCAGCCACCTCTGAATGAATCCCCACCAGGTGATTTCCTGGGTGGATTCAGTAAGATGATTTTTGCCCCTTCCCAGTTCTTTCCTTCACCTGTCTTGGCATCAGTTGTTTTCTATGAAAACAGTGGATTGGTTGGGTTTTGTGCAGGGTCTTGGGTTAGAGCCACAATGGATTTGAGGATGAGTATTTCTTTTTCTTTTGGTTTTGTATATTTTGTACATTAATAATAAACAGTGGAAATAGAAGCAGCTTATTTAACCCCTGTTGTGTTTGGACTCTGTTCATTAAAAAAAAAAAAAAAAAGGCGGGGGGGTGGGGTGGAGAAACAGATGGTGGATTGGAGTTACTTGGCATTTATTTGCCTGTTGGCTTCATCAGAACAGCAAGGACCAGTATTTCTGAACTTCACCTGGTCGCCGATTGCAGTTACAGTCCAGCACTTTGCTGCTGCATGCTTCTCAGATGTGGGCCTGATGATTTGGTTTAATCTCATGTAGCTGCAGGTTGGTACTGAGTGTCTCTAACCTGCCATATTATTCTCCCCTACCTTAAGTACTTAAAACAGCTAGATAATACCTTTTTAGAAATATTAAATACATTATTATAAGCATTTATGGAATCTCTTTCAGTCCTTTGGAGCTAACATTTGTTCTACCTTCAAGTCACAGAGTTGGTATCAAATATTGAAGGAACACGGTTGTCCTTCCATATCTTGTCACAGGAGAGTGATTCCAGGACCTGCCTAACCCCCACATACACCAAAATTCAAGCATGCTCAACTCACACAAAATGGCATAGTTGCGTATAATCTATGTACATCCCCCTGTATTTGAGATCACCTATAGATTATACCTAATACAATGTAAATCCTACATACATATATAATGACAACATACAATGCAATTATTTTTGGACAAATACTTTTGATATATATTTGATTGAATCTGGATGTGGAACCATGGATACAGAGGGTTAACTCTACTTTGAAATATATGTGAAACACTTTGTGAGATCTTTGGGAGTACAGAGCTCCTCATAGACTGACTGTGGGCCTGTCAGTTCCAGCTGAATCTACCAGCCTTGTGGAGCTGCTTAGGAAAGGAATGAAAGTGGAGAGTATCTGTGGCAGGAAAATCTGGGGAATGAGGGAAATAAGATATAAGAAGTTGTTGCCCTCGTGTGGCCGGTGCCTGAAATAACAGGACACTGTCCAGTCCTGCAGGCATTTTCTCTCCCCGGTTGTAGACTATTCTCTCTGCTTGCTTCAGTTTTCCTCTCCAAAACATCCTACATCTACTCAGCATTTTCCAGATCAGCAACAGGAGCACCTCTAATTGACAGGCCAGTTTCAGTGGAAAAAGTGGAAAAGACAAGAAAAGTGAAAGTGTACTGAGCACCCATGGTGCATACCTGTAATCCCAGTGACTTTGGAGGCTGAGGCCAGAGGATGGCAAATTCAAGGCCAGTCTCAGCAATTTAGCATGACCTTGTATTAAAAAATAAAAAATGGGGGCTGGTTTTGTGGCTCAGTGGTAGCGCACTCGCCTAGCAAGCGTGAGGCCCTTGGTTCGATCCTCATTACCACATAAAATCAAAGGTATTGTATCCAACTACAACTGAAAAATAAATATTTAAAAAAAAAGGCTGGGGATATGGCTCAATAGTTATGCACCCCTAGGTTCAATTTCTGGTACCAAAATTTTAAAAAGGTGGTGTGGAGGGGAAGTGTTGTAAACTGCTTGTCCCAGAAAGCTCTGCCAGAGGGAATAAGCCAGCTTCTAGATGTAGGGTAAAATGATTTTTAGTTCTTCAAAACAGATATTAGACTGAGGGCCTAGTTGATGGAATAAGATTTCTACGAAGAAAGAGACCAGACATGAAGGAATAGGATTAACTTCAAATAAGAAGTCGGCTACTCTTGAAATCAGAAATTAGAGTATATTATATCGCAAGGAGTGGGACAGAGATGGGGAAGATGGGGCTATTGGGGTGTGGGTCATTTGAGAATGATGGTCTTTGAATGACTTGGTGTTCATCTGAACGGCCGGACAGAAGACAAATGGTGAAGTACAGCCATGTTTCTGATTCTATAGATCTAGGGTAGATCCTGAGACTTCATAGTTTTAACAAATTACCAGGTGATGCTGATGCTGGAAAATTCTGAGAGCCCTGGACAGTGTCCTGCTATTTCAGGCACTGGCCACACGAGGGCAACATCTCAAAGGTCTCAAGACATTCAGTAAGGCCAAGGCAGCTGGGGTTCCCTTCCCGATTTGAGAGGGATCAGGTCAGTCTATTGTTGCTCAATCCACTGGCAGAGAAGGAAGGACCTGTCATAGTCTAAGGACCAAATTTAAGTAAAATACCAAAGTACACGGCTTAGGTGAAAAATCAAATGAACTTGTCCTAAACTAGTGGCCTCAACTTACCTTGTGGTTCCCTCTACTGCCTGTTTCTCACCTATCTCCTGTGACAAGCCACAAGAACTTTTAAACAGAGCTTAACTTTTTCTCTATATTTTAAAAATGAGTTCAGCCATTTGTCTTTAAAATTCTCCATGAAAATCAAAAAGGACTTGTTACTGTTTACTTATGTAAACATATGTGATTTTTTTCCTTTTTAAAATATATTTTTAAAGTTTTTTAAAAATTATAGGTGGACACATATATTTACTTTGTTATTTATTTTTACATGGCGTTGATAATCGAACCCAGTGCCTCACATGTGCAAGGCAAGTGCTCTGCAACTGAGCCACAATCCCAGTCCCTCTTTTTCTTTTTTCAAGGAGATAGGCTAAGTACCTCATACATTTCACCATACCCACTGACCTGTTGAAGTCCTGCAGGCATTTTCTCTCCCCTGTTGCAGACTATTCTTTCTGCTTGCTTCAGTTTTCCTCTCCAAAACATCCTCCCAATGATAGACATTCTCTTTTTGTCAGCTCTTCCTTAAACCCACCAGGCTATCTCCAATGTGTGTGTGTGTGTGTGTGTGTGTGTGTGTGAGAGAGAGAGAGAGAGAGAGAGAGAGAGAGAGAGAGAGAGAGAGAGAGAGAGAATCCAGGGGCATTTTACCACTGAGCAACATTCCCAGACCTTTTCTTTTTCTTTTTTCTTTCTTTTTTTATTTATTTTTTCTTTTTTACTGTATCCCAGGCTTCTTTATTTAAGAACAAAGTATGAGTGATGTGGGGATTAAAATCAAGAGCGTTGAACTTTGACTTCCCTCCAACCAGTTCCCTAACTCCCCACCCCCACCCTTTGAGCTTCCAATTCCTTCCTTAGTGAAAGAAGAACTTAATCCCAAAAGCCCTGGTCCAGACTCAAGTTTCTCTCCCTAGCTCCTCTTTCCTCTACCCCCGTACCTGGGAAGGGCAGGCAGTTTGAATGCATGGGAGAGCCCAGAGTGGTGACAGAGACAGAGGGAAAGGCTTCCCCCTCAGGAAAGGGACCTGGGAGTAGAGCGTAGTGAAGTGAGGGCTTCCGTAACCTGGGGTACCAAAATGGGGCCCTGGGGCCAGAGGAAAGGATACAGATTCCCCTGAGAAAGGAGAAGCTGCAGCCTGAAAATCCTCTCATGGGGGAATAGTCAGTGCTTTCTGGCGCCGGTTACAGAACCACACTTGCCCCTAGCGTTGGGCAATGTGGCTGATCTGCTGCAGTGTGGGTTCACTGCAGGAACATGTACTCCAGGTTGCCTCTCACTTGGTTCTAGATACTCATTCGCTTTCTCTTCCGAGCCTGCAGGAGGGTCTTTGCTTTGCATATCTAGGCAAGTAGGGAAGGGGTGACAAGGTCAGGCTTTGGACCTGCTGAAAAACAGCACCATATTGAGGGGTCAGTGAGTTGAGAGCACATTGCTAAGGAGACAGTGACTGGATTTATCCCCAGAGCCAGAGGGTATAAAAAGGAGGAAACTGAGCTGGGGTTGAGGCTCAGTGGCAGAGCGCTTGCCTTGCACAAGTGAGGCACTGGGTTTGATCCTCAGCACCACATAAAAATGAACAAACAAAGATAATGCATCCATCCATAACAAAAATATTAACAAAAAAAGGAGGAAACTGGAAGGAGGGGGTTAAATCCCCCAACAGAACTGAGGGATCATACTCCATCCCATTGAGAATGCTGCCCTGGGCTGGGGAAGGAATTGTAGCTCAATGGTAGAATAGGAGGGCCAGGCTCTGGATTCAATCCCTAGCAGAGAAAAGAGAGGGAGAGAACTTCTGCCCCCGTGTGGTAGAGCAAGAGCTGCAGGCCAGGGAGGGAAGCAATCTCAGCTGACCCCAGTGCAGGCCCCTTCCCACCCTCACCTCCCGAAGGTTCTCATTGTTGTCTGCTTCCTCCACCCACTTCTGCAGCAGGAGCCGCAGCTTGCACAAGTTCTTGAAACTGAGCTGCAGAGCCTCAAAGCGGCAGATAGTGGTTTGGCTGAACACCTTCCCAAAGAGAACCCCCAGGGTGAGCCCCATATCATCCTGGTTATATACCAGGGGAATCCTCTTCAGTTTCAGTAGCTTGGAAAGTTCTTTCTGCAGAGCCTGGATATCTTGGGACTCCCTGGGGGTTTTGATCCATCTTCTCTTCCTCCACTTTCACCACAGCAGGGTGAGCAATGCAGGGCTCAGGGGAGGCCCCCTCAGAGTTGCTCTCCATCCCAGCTCCCACCTCGCTCTCAGGCTGAGAGGTCTCCAGGCCACCATGGGGGATCAGGCCCTTTCCAACCTGAGGTCCACAGTATGCCACCCCTCCACAGAACTCATAGGGTGGAGGGCATGAGGGAATCCCTCACACCTCCAAACCTGGCCCAACCCCCGGCCCAATTTCTGGACCATCAGGAGGGTGTGGGAAGCTTAGTAAGGTTTGAGGGTCAATCCAGCCTGGTTCTGGCCCTCCTGGCCCATCATCCCCACCACCAGGAGGGGGCCAGAAGGCAAAGTTTGAAGCCAGATGTCCGGCCATGGGTTAGAAGGACACTCCAAGCTGGGAACCTGAAGAAATACCTTTTTAATTTTTTGAGAAGGATCTTGCTAAGTGGTTTAAGCTGGCCTCAAACTTGCTTTCCTCCTTTCTCAGCCTCCCAAGTCTGGAAATACAAGTGTGCACCACTGCACCAGACTGCCTATCTCCAATTCTGAATCATCATACTGTCTCTCAATCCTGTTGTTCATCAGTGAACCTCATGTTGAAAAAACACATAACCCTACCATCTTGGTCCAGTATAAATAATTAGCATTGGCTCAACACTTCCTGTAGCTTGAC